ATTACTCTGTCATATTTCAGTCGCTTTGGCTTCTCTCTGTAAATTGCCTTTCCCCTCCGCTCTTGTGAAATATTAAGTTCTTTTTAATTTCCTTTTCCGCCGTGAATCCCTACGCCTTTTGCCTGTGGATCCACTGCCTTTGCCCACGGCTCGATTTCTGTTTGTGGCGCCGCGAGAAACAAAAACAAAATTTGTTTGCCATAAAAAATTGTCGCGAGTTACGCGGCTGGGTGACAAAATTTGGAAGGCCGCCCCGACAGTATCCCTTATCCCTTAAAGCCCCCCCCTGTGTTACCCACACAATTGTGGCACGCCGTGGCTTTCCACTTATTTTCCACGCCAAACAGCTTTGTATTTCGCTGGGCGCTTGTATTTTTGTTTGGCTTTCCTTTCTCGCCGCTTTTCTTGTACTGTGCTCATTTATTTTTTATGTGTCTTGCACCTGAACCGACACACATTGAGCGCGTTGGGTAACAAACCAAGGGAGGGGGTGTGCATTAAAAATTTAAGTTTTATGTCAATGAATGTCCTCCGTTCCGGCCTTTGTTTGCCGCTTCGACTTTCTTTATGGGCATTTTTCACGGTGTTTTCACAGCGATGTTGATTTAATTTGAGCCCCAAGTTAAAGCCGAAATTAACATGGAACTGGCAAAAGGCAGTAGGCAAATGGTTGCCGAAAAAATAATGATGCCCATCAAACGTGTCTTCGTGTCGGCTTAGGCAAATCATAATTTATTTATAATAGTTTGGGCCTTCTGCTCGGTAACGAGTGCCATAAAAAAGAGGGACCCATAAACACTTTTTAGTTGCCCTCAACGCCTCCATATCGCATGCCTGGTGGGGGCATTCCATCTTTTTGTACTCGCTCATAAACTCATTTTATTCCCAGCATGTGATATTTGTCCACATATGCGAAACTTTATTAGTTGAGCACTCAATGAAAAGGCCATCAAAGAAAACACTCGCCAGGGGCTGCCAGCTGTGCGGGGGAAATAAAATTTACAACATCAGCAAACATTTCCCCAATGAATTTGCATTGTCAATCATACGGAGCTTATTTACTTTTTTAGCAGTTGGCAGCTGCACTTTATGAAACACATTTACGACTCACTCTTGTTTCAACGGAACCAATTCCAAAAAAGTTCGAAAAATAAAATGTGCCGCCATCAATTGTCATCGATATCCTAGGTCCTAATCTGTCAAGCGGTCTGGGATTTTGCGAGTATCTGTGCGTGTTTATACTTGCCACACGCTTAGCCACAGAAAAGCCACATGAATTTATGGTAGGAGACGGCATTTAATATATTTTTCAAAAATAAGACAGATGCTGAAGGGTCCTTGGGGAAGAGCCTTGGTTGACTTACTTTATCCGCACTGATTGTTATTTAGTGACTGGCAGATTTAAAGCTCGCCATATACCCTACACAAAAGATACATATTCTCTTGAGACTTGGCATTTATCAACATTTGATCTTGTTTCCAATTTTCAGCTCCAACGGAAATACAATTAAATTTGTAAGTGCTTTAATTAGCAATTAAAAGCTTGGATGTATTTAGTAGCATGAAGTACGTAGTTTTATGCTTTTAGAGCATTTATAATTTTTGAATTAAAGTAAGTTTAAATGTTTAGAAAAATATACATTAACTCCACAAACACCTAATTAAAGTCCCGCATAGATTAAATCCTCTGAGGTTGCCCTGTAATTCCAGCTCGACCATTAGTTTCTACCTAATTAACTGCCATGTCGAACTTCTGCGCTCTGGATTTAGCTTCCAGCGCTAATGCAAAATGTATTTTAAATTGGATTAAGTGTCAAACATTTTGACTTTGTGCCAACAATAATTTAGCCTGTTGAATTTTAATGCGATTTTTGGTAATGTAACTTTAGCCGCCCGTCCAAACCAACACACCTGGCCTGCGCATATACAAATATATAGGGACAGATGTGTGTGCGACCCATGTGTCAAACGAAAAATCAATACTATTACAGACACAATGCACATACGGACACAAACATGTGTACAGAGATGTAAATAGCTGGTTGACATTCTGACATCGACAGCAAAACGAACGAACGGGGAGCCTTCAAATGTGCCCCCCGACATTATTAGGTCACTTGTGGCCACATTTTGCGAATGCATATATGCACATGGGGAAATGAAAATCTGGCCGGAGGAACAAATTTAATTTGCCAGCCCATCGCTGTTTCGAAATTATAATAATTGCTAAAATAATCGATTTGGTCCGGGGACCTGACATTGGCTAATGCATATTAAATTACCATTATACAAATGATATCCCGGCCACTCGCACATACACATATACAAACACATCTCTCCCTCGACATACCCTACAAAAGTTGTGTCAACAATGTGAAAGATAAACAATGCCAGTTCCCACATGTATGCGCGTGTATCTGTGTACAAGAATACACAAACCCAACACATACACACACACACACACACACAGTGGTAAAGGAAAACTTGGGAATCAGCTCCTTGCTGGTGGTGTTGTTGTTTCGGGTTTTGTTTCACAATAATAAAGTGCGGCTGCAGCTTTAATAACTTCTGCAGTCAACAAAAGCGACAACAATAACAAGCACAGTCCTCGATAGAGACAAACAAAAAATACAAAGGGACGCCGAGAGGTCGGGAAAGCTGGGATAACTGGCAAAACACACAGAAACTGTGGATCTACAGTGGCGAAAGTTCAGCAGAGAGTGGAGCTGCATTCTAAAATGATGGGACCGCAACTAGAAAAGTTGCCAACCCAGTGGCAGCGTTGCTAGATGAGTGCTCAAGCAGGGTTTTCCAGGGTTTTCAGGGGTTAGGGGGCCAACAGGGCAGCACACAATACCCGGAGACGAATTACATTTGTCGCGCCATGTTTGCACATATTTAAGCAACTTAAGAATTACCCAACTTTGCTGGAAAATGCAGCGCAAAAATGCTGGCAGCCAACGGTTCTTTCGTTCATTTTTTGTCTTCTAGTCACACTGAAAAAAAATATGTAAGTAATATTACAAATTCTTAAAGCTAAATACAATCGAAAATAATAATTAAATAAAATAATATGCTTGGCAGTGAGATTTAACTTTTTCCTATTAAAGTTTCTAAATTTACATAAATATTTATTTATTTGTTGGTTTTACTTCATAACTAATAAATTTATTTGTTATCAGTTACCTAAATATATGTGTACAAATGGCTTTTTGTTAGTCCAAGTTCTTTAAAGCATTGTTGTTAATGAAATTTCTTATAATCAAAATTTAACTTGCCAATAAAGTATAGATTTTTCCGATCACAGTTTCTAAATTTTTACTTATTTATTGGTTTCACTTTGTAGTTTATAAATTTATTTGTTATCAAATAGTTGTTAGTATATGGCTAAAATCCAAATAAGTCTTTTTGTAATACTAAGTACTGTCAAGGAAAACTAACAAAATCCAGTTATTTTCAAATTGTATTTAAATATTGTTTCCTTGCTATCACATAAACATTAAGTTAAGAAAAAACGTGGTGGGCAATAAATTCCACGTTGATCATTTAGTACCGAATTTATAGGTTTATTTTTCTTCATGCAGTCAGTTTCTGAGCCAGCCATCCAATCGGGATAACTCCAGAGCAACCCAATTTGAGTTGCCCGCGCTTTGCAATGCAAAATGGCGCCGCTCCGAAAGTTTTTGCTGCATAATCGCAGGCGCAGCACTTTGGGCCAGGCCAAGCAAAACAAAAGTCCATAGGAAAAAGGAGCAGGGGGGGAAAGCAAACTTTGCCGGGACTGCGCATAATGAAGCAACGCAACAGACAAATCCATCTCCGAGTGTGGACAAAAAGTCCGGGTTTGGAATACGGGTCGGGCAAAGTTTCTGATTCTGTTGCCAAATGCGAAAAGAATAAGACGCGACGAGCGTCACAGTTTACTTGGCATTTACATTTCCGCTCTGCCGGCTGCCACCCGAAAGTTGTTTTCCCTCCATCTTTTTTTTATGATTATTTCAGCTTCATTTTTCATTAAGAGCCAGGCAGCGGCAAAGCCACAGGACGAGCTGCTGGCCTCCTTGATTTATGCGCATTTCATGAGCATTTCGACGGCTGGGGGCCGAGGCACGTGTCCTTGAGCATTGTTTTTTGCTAAACAAATGTCCATTAGCTGAGTGAGGGAGTGTTGGACCCAGAAACCAGAAGCCAGCTACCAGTTTTTGTTCTTAGGGTTGCTTGACTAGGGCATCATTGAGACGACGTATTATGGCTTTCCTTATGTCTTTCGTTGTGTGTTTTTCTGGAAAGTTTTGCCTTTTTATTCGGCTTTGATTCGCTTTCCATATGAATTCTTAATTTTGTTCGATTTTGTAAAGCTTTGCGGCACACACACATACACACACAACACCTGACCTATGACCTCAGCTGCGGCATTTGGGCACAACAGCTGTCAAGGCCCACGCCCTCACAACGCCCACACATTAACCTTCGTCCTTTGCCGGGGTTCGATATGGAACCTATATTTATAAGTTTTGTTGGGGAAAATCTATTTCCGTGCGAACATCTGACGCGAGGCAAGAGAAGTCTTGTGGCAAAAATAAATGACAGCCAAATGCTGATGGGAGTGTTATGTAATGAGTTCTCATTTCCATTTCCCTTTCCATTTCCATTTTCATGGCTAACCAGGAAACAATGGGCGCAATCAATAAATTGTCTCTAGATTCCGGTCACCGAAATCATTTGCTGTTGGCCAACAAATTGAGGTTACTGCCATTTACGAAAAGAGAAACAGATAGCGAAACAATGTCATTCGATTGAGAATTATTCTCCGGGTGCCCTTGTTTGTGCTCCGACCTGATGAGAAATGATAGACCAGAATAGGGGACAAATTGAAAAGACAACTTTATGTGAAAAATGGCAGCAGCAGCTCAAATTGAGGTCTCATTGAGAGGGAAACTTTACCTTTACCAGCCACATCAAACTTTATTAAATTCCATTTATTGTGCTCTTCCTTGCAGGCTGCACAACCAAGACAAAGCCGAGTTTAATGAGTTGGCTGCAGCTGAAACACATGAGACTGCCGCAGCACTTGTCCCTGGCCAACGGATCGAGGCAACTATTAATGGCAACAGGCTGGAAGTTTATGCGAAAAGTTTCCGAAAGTAATACGCAGAGAAAACACAAACCGAGCTAAGTCCCATCAAGCAACAATAAACGGGAAAACGCGCTGTGGAAAAACGCTTAAATCACCACAAGAAATAAGAAGGCACGCCGAAAAGTTTTCCCGCAACGGATTTCCATTCGCCGAACAACGGCAGCGTCATCATCATCATACCCTCGATTCTATGCTATTGTTTCGCCAAGGATTACATATTATGCGATAAACATGAAATACACGAACGATACACGAATCATTGTGCTCATTTGCTGTTTGCTGCAAGGTGAGTGCAAAAGTGTTCAATGCTATTTTTAAGGGGGGTCTGAGTGGGTGAGTGGGCGAGTGGGCGATTTTACTTTAACCCAGCATTTCCAGTTCAGTGCCTGCGCGTGTCGACACCTTGCCAGTCAATAAAAAGCAAATTGTAACTGCTCGACAAAGTCACTTGTGGCGTTTTAACACCCAAACGCACATATGTAACTCTGTGTGCGTGTCGGCAGCCCAAAAAAGGCCATAACCGCCCACTAATCCCCGACATACACATCCCAACCCGCCCGAATCCCCGCTGACGACCCGCTCGTTTCACTTATTTCAGTTATTTTTCTTGTGTGCCGCATGCGGAGCGCATACAAATGAGTGCGCCACGACCCACGACCCACAAGCCACAGCCCATAGCTCACTACCCTCAACCCGAGGTGGCCCGGCAATTTTCGCTTTATTTTAAATAAACATGATAATTTTTTTAATAGAATTTCGCAGTGCTTAATGTTTGCGAAGGTTCTAGCAGCCAGCCTGCTGAGTGAGCTGTCAATTTGCGTGCGGGCCGGAGTTGGCCCGATATCCATTCACATATACGGCTGCATCTGCATTTGCGTCTGCGTCTGTCAAGTGCAGCCACATGAACGTGACGTCAAGTAGACATAGTTCTTCGGCTTTCCGGTTGCCAGGTGCATGTTAACCTCCCCGGGGGAAATCACTCACACGTATTAAATGCCAGCATAAACACATGGAGGAATTTAGCCCCCTTAAATTCCATTTCATTTTGCAAGTATGTAATCGCACCTAGAGTGCACAACACGACCATCGATTTGCCGAAGGGCAAACTGCAGACGCTCGCAATTCGCGCAGCTCAAAAAAAAAATAATTGGGTAAAACTTTGGCAAATTGTTTGTGGAACGTGAGGAATTCGTCTTGCGACAGCTTCTTGCCAATGTTCCACGCATTTCGTTCAACTTAAAGTGCCCACAAATGTGTTATGGCCATGTGATCAAATATGGCGCATACGCCGTGTGTAACGACAGTTTACATGTTGCGCCATCGCCTTGCTTTCCTCCATTGTTATTCCTCTTTTCAATTACACGCCAGCTCAGCAACTGTTTTCCCCCGTTCCCCTCCCCTTTCCATTTTCCCTTTTCCGCTTTCCTTTGCTCCTCCCTGTTGGCTCATCACCTGCGGTTATTTTGATTTTAATTTGCTCGTTTTTCGCTCGTCAGTTGCTGTCGCAGTTGCTTGTGTTGTTTCTATTCTATTCATAAATGTTTTGTTGGCTGTCTCACCAGTCTGCATGTGTGTTAGTTCGCCTTGTCAGTGTCGCTTAGGGTGGAGTGGCCATTTTGCCTGCGAGAATGTGTGTGTTTGTGTGTGCGAGGCTTTGCGACAGATTTGTGTCAACTTGAATACATCAGAAGCGCTTGAACAGATTTGCATGCTGTTTCTATTTTTTTGTTTTTTTGTTTTTGTTTTACTGTTGTCGCTTGTGGTGGCTGCAAGCAACAACAAAAAGTGAACACGCAATCGCGCAGCGGCAACGGGGCGTATGAGTACTTTCGCCTTCCCTCCGCAAGCCTTTCAAAACTGTTGCATACTTTTTTGCGCCGCATTGTTCTTTGTTGTTTTGTTGTTCTGGCTTGGCTACTGCGCAAACTAAACTAAAACTATCCCAAAGGCTTTTCATTACAATTTCGTCTAGGTCCATTTTTTTTGCGCCCCCGTTTGCATTTCGCTTTCGCTGTTTTTTTAATATAATTGTTTGCGTATTTAGCACAAGGCCGAGCCCGCGTCCAGCACCCACCACCCACCACCGCAGTAATTGTTTTTTAAACGCATTTAATGAACAACATTAAGGGGAGTTTAAGCTGTCAATGCCACAATAAATATTCATCAGGGCGCGGCGGGCAACAGCAGAAAATAAAAAGTGCGAAGCAAAAGCGAACGTCAGAGTTTTTAATGAAGTCTAGACGCCGCAAATAAGAAACACAAACTTAATGAGCCTTTGATCGGCTTCAACTTGGCTGGCATCGCACCACTATCAATGGCAGCCGCCAGTTCTTGTTGTGTCTTCCAGTTTTTTGACACTTTTCGCCAACTTTCTGGCGGGCCGAACCTATCGCATTGTCTGCCAGCCCAGCTTTGGGCCAACATTTCCGAGCAAAATGATTTACTAGATAGCAAAGTTTGCCAGCCTCTGCGAACGGGCCGCATAATTGCTGCGAAGGCGCCAGCTCATTAGTGGTATAAAGTTAAGGGCCGTTCAACGAATCCCACTCCCACACCCCCAGTTCGCCCATCATCGATAGCAACTAAGCTGCTACAAGCGATTTTTGTTGCCAGCTTTATCTCCTAATGGCGGCCTTCATTATGCGCTATTTGGCAGCGCCCAGTGGGTCAGTTTACCTTGGGCCACCACCCTTCCCTTCCGGAGGTGCCAGCTCCTCCTTTGTTTGTCTTTCTACTTTCTACTTTCTACTTTCCACTCTCCACTTTGCTGTCCTTCGCCTCGCTCCCTTTCGTTCTGTTTGCCAATTTTATCGAATTATGCTAAACACCAGAAAAGTTGGGGGGACGACCGGAGGACTTATTTAACCTACAGGTGAGCTGTAAGGCAACCCAAGTTCGCCACTCGAGTGGGAGGCTTGCCCTGTTTAAATATGCGTTAATGAACGAAATTATCATGCATACTGAATGAAATCCCCCCCTTCTGCCGCGACTTCAGCTTATGCATATTCAATTTGCATGAAGTGCGCCGCGTTGCTTTGCGGATACTTAACATACTAATTTAAATATGGAACTTTATTTTAGAAAGTTCGGGGGAAAGCGTTGCGATAGTCAAGTGGAGCTCGGAGTTTGAGACAGGCGAGCTGATAGGCAGACAGTCGTAACTTTTGCTCTCTTGCCAAGTTCCACAGTAGTCTTCGCCCCGGGCCACAGTGGTTGGCAAGTGGAAAATGCCTTGTTAAGTTTACATTTTGATCAGTTTAAGAAAGTACTTTTTTTAAGCGTGTAGAAAATAATTGACGGTCAATTTGGTGTCTGTCCAAAAGTTAAAAAATAATACGTTTCTCATTTTTACGAAAAACTACTCCTACGATTATTTCTTTCATACATGCATTATAATACAGTAATAATACTCCATAACGCAAACAATCAAATTTTAAATTTAATTACCACCCAAATTCGTCATAAATGGCTTAGAAAAGCGCAACGCATAACGAATTTTCATACAAAAGCTCTCGTAATCCTTGTTTGCTGGTTAGTTAACTTGCACTGATCTACCTTTTTGTAAAGACGGGCCATTTCCATTCGCTGCGATGCATTTAGACAACGGGGAAATGATGCGCTTCTGGCATGTTTATTTGCGTTTGTGTTTCCACAAGCTCATTGAAATGGAATCCCTTTCGGGGAACATGAACTTGTAATTTAATTTCGCATCTGAACGTAAGCTTTCGTCGCTCGACTCGACTTGGCTCTTATCAATGGCAAAGGAGGGGGCTGGGAGGGCTGTCATTTCGCTTGGCTAAAATTCTTTGGAAGCAGCCCGCACTGCAGGCAATTTTAATCAGCTTCCATGCAACTTTTACCCATTGTTCGCTCCTCTCCATCTGATCCAGGCAGCGTTATTGGGATGGGACTTTGCTGTTTTTTAATTAACATTAAGACACTCTGTATGGTGGCCTAAACGACATGTGTTCGCAGGCGGCTTTGTCTTGGCTTGTCTCGCATCTGCACTCGTCTTAATTTCATTAAGCCCATTTTCCATTTTCCATATTCCGTTTCCCAACTGACATCAGCAGGTGGGCGTGGAGCGCCGAGCGGACGCACCTCAACTCGTCCATCAAAGTCGCTGTCATAAAAATTGGACAATTAAACAGCGTGTTTCGCCATTAAAGCCCACGTCAGGCCCTTGAAATTCCACGTTAATTTATGGCTAAGTGTAATTAGCTCAAATGAGTGCGAGGCAAAACGTTAGAATGCAAGAGTCTGTCATTCTCGAAACGGAATTAAAAGTAATCTAATTCCGCTATTCCGTAATTAAACGCCAGTTAGGCTAATCAAAATTGTTTGCTGCACTCGAGCATCAAGTATCCGCCACCGCCACCGCATCCTCATGCTAAAGTCCATGCCAATTCAATCAGCTTTCTGGGCCTCTGTGGGAGCCGGAAAAGTTGTGCAACTGCAATGGAAAAGTTTTGCTCGCCCAAGTCCCAGATCAGAGTCTGTCAATCTGTTTAATACCATTCAATTGCTGACGTCTTTAAGCGGCTGCCAAAGTTTGCCAGCTGCCAATGGCAGTGCCAAAGGCCAATTAGCCGACAGCCCTGCTCCTAATGGCCAGAAATTCAAATATTTATGACTACTGCGATTCTAATTTAACGCTGGCTGAGCAGCTTCGCCGAAATAAACCGCTAAACGGCGCATTTATTCCGGGGCTGAATGACAGCCACGAAGTGTATAAACGACCAATATCCTGTTGGTCGCCGTCCTTGGCCTCCCGCTTCATAATTTGCGGCCCTGGCACAGCGGTGCTGTAATTTTACAAAGGATTAAGCCCGATTACGCACTCATTTATTAATATTTACGAGCCGGCCGACACGGCAAAACAGCCAGCGCCCAGAACAATGGACACACCACCTGCCGCTAACCAACTCCTCAGTCTCCGCCTGCACATTTCTGAATTGCTACTCATAAATAAGCAATTGACGATCAAACCTTGGGTCCTTTTTAATTAAAACAATAATTGTTTGTCCTGGCCAGGGATAGTGGTCTAGTCCGGAGCACAAATCAATTATGCAAATACTTGCCCAACGAAGACGGAAAATTTGCGTTGTCATGAGCAACAAAAAGTTTACTCGTCTTGACGGGCCCGGAAAATGCGAGAAATATTTTAATTTTCCACTGGCGGTGTTGCGACTAGCGTAATCCTTGGCGAATGCCCAGCGGGTCGACTGAACTCTGTCCTCCCACCGGCAGCTCGCCCCTTTCTTATGCAAATATTCGTTCTTCAACCCCGGGCGTCTTGCCAGTTTATTGATTTCCCAGACTCGCTGATTTCAATATTTGTCGTTTTCATCTTTTGCATGGAAAAAATTATTTTCAATATTTTTTATTGACAATATATTCGATTGAATGTGTATGGTTTGAGCTGAGCTTTGAGTTATACAAAACTTTCAGATGGTATATTAATAAGTGAGTAATATATATATGAGTATTTGAGTATTGAATGAGTATGAAGAATAAATGCCCCAAATTAATAGAAGACCCGTCTTAAACTGTGCATTTCAATCTGGCATCCCTTCTAGTATTCGAAAAAAATTAGATTATCAAAATGAACATACAATAACGATTTTCGTAAAGAACTCATTTAGCTGAGCTTGTTTACGTGCTCAATGCCACATGCACATTCACATCATCACAAATGTTTTAATTTTATATTATACTAACAAATATATTACTAAATCACAACACAATATCCAGAATAAATCTCAATATGGGAAGTGATACATGTATTATTTTCTGGTTTCAGGCTTAGCCGTGGGCCTGCGCATGATCAAGGTCTCCATTCCCGCCTACAAACTGCGCGGCGAGTCCGCCTTCCTGGAGTGCCAGTACGAGCTGAACCGAACGCACCACGCGGTCGCGGGTGTGCAGAGCCACTCGGACCATGGCCGCGGACACCAGACCCACGGAGGCGGCAACGGCGAGTTCCATTATCCAGATGGCGAGGCCCTGGAGGAGGAGCGGTCGTCGTACCGCTCCCGGATGCGCCAGAATCAGCGGCAACATGGCCAGCGGCCGAGGCAACGGGAGCTCATTGCCATGCGGCAATACCAGAGCCAGCAGAGCCATCAGCAGCCGCCAGCTCCGCCGGAGAAGTCACCCTACGGGCACAGTGTGTACCGGGGCAGTGCCGCCTCCGGCTATCTGGGTGCCGCCCACGTGGGCGCCAGCACGCACAGCGGATCCGTGACCGTCGGCTCCGGCGGAAACAACGGCAATAGCGGCGGTCCGGCGGCTTACATGCCCGAGTTCGACCGGGCGGACAGCTTCGACGACAGCATCGATCGCGAGGAGGAGGAGGAAGAGGACGAGGAGGAGCCGCTCGAGGAGGGGGAGGCCCTGTACGCCATCAAGTGGTACAAGGACAACGAGGAGTTCTACCGCTACGTGCCAAAGGCCCGGCCGCCAAAAACCAGCTACCGGGTGGATGGCGTGAGAGTCATTGTGAGTACACTCTTTATTTTAGTTATTTATAAACTACAGCCTAAAAATTAAAGACAGAGAGTATAAACTTAATTTTAACACTCTGAACACACACTTCAAATTGATCAACAGTTTGTAAAGCACTTATTAGATTTTAACTTGCTTGTGCAATGTTTAAATAACAATTGAAAACAACTACTTTAAAATTGATTTTTGAGTTTGGACAACCAGTTATAGGTTTTTGTTTAATAAATAAAACCACTTGTGGCACATTGTATTTGCAGCATCGTTGTTATTGTCATTTAAATGATTTTAAAATCTAGTGCCTAGTAAATTTTTCTCAAAAGCTATAAAGGCAATAAAGAAGTCACTTCCGATACCATAAAGTCAATATATAAATATTGTTTGCATTTTTCGACCTACACTAGCAAAAATATGTAGTTAATATAAATATTATTTGCTCATTTTGAATAATTTTCGTATTGAGTTTTGTCAACTAAGTAATAAAATAGTTATAATATTTAAAAATTTAATTGAATTTGAATCAAATAGGAACCGTTTTAAATCCTATATTTTTCATATTTATTAACATATTTTAATATTAACCGTGCACATTTAATATTTAGTATTTAACTTTATAAAACTTGGAATCCTGCAGTAAGATATTGTTTTTGACTATTTCATCTTTTTTATCAGTGTTGTCCAAATTTATTAATAAAATGTGCTCAATTCCGCAATACGGACAAAACAAAATAAAATCTTGTCTATGTAGAATGTATTTTATTAAATTGAAAGAACATTTAAAAAGTGTCTTGCCGAAGTAAGCTTAGTTCCTTATTTTCGTGCTGTACATTGTGCAAATTTTCCCACTGTTGATTTTTAGTTATGCTAATTTTGACTTTTTTTGTTTTTACTTTGCAGGAGGAGCTCTCCGACGCAAGTCGCGTGCTCCTGCGGGGCCTGACGCTGAACTCGACGGGATTGTACCGCTGCGAGGTGTCCGCTGAGGCACCCAACTTCTCCTCCGTGCAGGGCGAGGGCCGGATGGACATTGTCTGTAAGTACCCCGAGTCCCAATCAATTCAAAGTCACGTTCCGCATTTGCCTGCCCGATTTTATTATATTTGTTTCACCCCGCAAATAGCACACAACCAAGCAAATGTTTGATCAAAAAATTGCACATCAATTACAAGCAAATATTGAAAGTGTAAATAGGGGGCAAGTGCGGAGGGTGGAAGGAAGATCTGGATCTCTTTCCGTATTGGCATCAAACAGCCGGAGCTTATTTGCTTATTTGCTCGAAGGCATTCCGATACAGACGGGGGATTCCAAATTTGAACAGTATTCATTGCTTACGATTTTTAATTCAATCTGCAAGTCGCTTCAGTGAGCGGCTAAAGATTCACATTCTATCAATACATGCCTGAGTTGAAATTGGTATGGAATTTTAATGAAAATAGTTCGAATAAATAAAACTAAAACTAAACAATGAACTTGAAATTAATCCTTGTCCTTCATGCTCCGCTGCGAAAAAGTTTTATTAAAAGCTGGAATTATTTCTCAATAACGAGATCCCTACTTTAAACTTCATTTGGACTCCTTTATTATTCTTATATTTTGGTAAAAGCTTTAGCTGTTTTAAATTGAATATTTAAAAGCCCTTCGGTGGTTCTGTTTACAATTTCTGCGGTCCATTTTCCGCCGCAAGCTCGCCCACCCACATATACTGGTACAGCAATGTACATTCTGAATCGGATCGAGTTCATTTTTGCAGCTTCTGCCGGTTTTCGCTTTTGGTCGACGTCGACTAATGCGACTGCCGCTGTTGTTTGTTTTGGGTTTTTTTATGGGGCCGTGCGGGCGGGCGGAAATGCTTTTAAAAAGTCATTCATAAGCTTTAGTTTCATAACAGCATATTTTTGTAATCCAAGCCGGATCCCTGCATTTTTTAACGCTTTACACACGCGCTAAACTCTGCTCGTCCCCTTTGCCCATGTTTTCATTTCCTTTTTTTTACTATTTTTATTTACTTAAAGCCAAATGGCCAGCGGCAAAAGGGAACACATAAAATTGGTAGGGGCTTGGACGTAGACTGGCTGAGGGGACTGCGGGGGCCACGCCAGCGATTTAGAAGTTAAAATGCCATTTTAATGGATATTTCCGCAGTCTGGCCGCTTACAACATATTTTGTGTTGTGCCCCCAGAACATCCAACCTTCTTTTCTATTGCAGTTGTTGCTTTTGCTGTTGGTTTATCTGTGTGTTTTATGTTTTATTTGAGCAGCGAAAAATATTTATTTGTATATCCCATTGAAATTGTCTGGCCAAAGGGGGAAAATTCCCCCGAAAACAGAGTGTGTGTGTGCCGAGTACATATTTGCCGGGCAAAGCAACACAAAAAATTGTTAATAAATTACTCGACCGAGGGGCGAAAGCCGCTGCAAATATTTATTGGTTACTGGTGGTTGCGGGCTTTTGGCCATGCAAAAGGGGGGTGTGGTGGATAACATCAGGGGGGATATTATCCGCCATTAATCCCCCTCATATTTATGCAAATCTTATATCCATAATTGATGTATACTCTATCCCGTTTTATTTCAGTTCTACCACGCGATGGACCGCACATAAGAGGTCAGCAGTATCAGTATCAGATCGGCGAGTACTTGTATTTAAATTGCACGTCGGGAAAATCGCACCCGGCCTCGCATTTGCAGTGGTTTGTCAACGAGCAGCCGGTGAGTTTGTTAACACCGAATTTATTTGCCCAGCCGCTTGCCGTTTGGCAAATAAAACGTAACAAGATTTACCCTTTTTTTTGTTTTTTGTTTGGGTCCAGACCTAAACGGTCTTTCACGCTCCGGCCCATGCTAATCAAGAGCCTGCAGGAAGAAAAGCGGGGAAAAAATGTAGAAATTATGCATACAGTAAATATTTAAGCTCCTAACAACGCGGCAGACAACGAAGCCCGGGGAAAAAAGAGCTCAGCTGGGCAGGTTGTTGAAATAATTTCATGAACAAAAATCATGTAGACGGGCAGGCATCGAATACATTTTTCGTGTTTCCTTCCCTGCCTCGCTTTTGGCTTTGCCATGTTTTATGGCCCGATGTCGGGGACTTAGGTGAGGTGGCAGGTGTTTGGGGGTTTTTAGGGGTTCTAAAACTGGGACTGGGACTGGGCCATCCATCTGTCCGAAAGCTCGTTACATGTCTACCCCCGGCCGGAACAGAAAAATCGAGAGGCGGCGAGTGGGCGGCACACTGCATTTTATCGTCGACGTCGACTACATGGCACTCAAATTGTGTGAATCGAGGCGTTAAGGTACGAGTTAGTTCATTGTACCATGCTGACTTCCCCTCATCGCAGTGAGGAGGGTTCGTGCCTCTCGTTCGCTTTGTATAAATACGAGAAAAATCAATAAGTGCGATTAGGCACGATTCCCGGTTTATTTGCCTTCCAACAATGGCAGCTGGAAACATCCCTCTTTCGTCACCCTTCCTGAATAATAAAAACCCCGATCCCTAACCCCTGCCCGTCAAACTTATAAGGGCAGTCTGAAGAACAATGAACGTTTATTTAATAACATTTGTCTGGCCGTATAACATGTCGTATACTTTCCTTCTTCTGCGCGGCATTCGTGCAATTTACAATAAAAGTGTCCATCAGCATGGGGCAAATATTTCTGCAATTCCACGAAAAACTTATAATACAACAGCTTTCGGCCAGGCCGCAAAATGCGTGGAAATAAATTTTGGCGGCATCTTGGGGGAAAGTTTTCTGGAATGCGTCAGGCATTGTAAGTGCCCCCATTTTATTGCCAGCCTGCCTCATTTCCCTGTTTTTGCTTGTGGCCGGACAGGACAGCTGACGGCATTTTCAGGATGTTTGTTGTGTCAGAAGGGAACGCTCGATTTGGACTTCGCCGTTTTAATTTATGCCCTTAAAGTTTAAACGCGAATCACAATGGAGGGTCGGGCAAACCAATCGGCTAACAAATGGCAACAATTTCGCTGGAAAAGTGCTAACCAATCCCCCATCCCCCGACCCCCAGGATAGACCGAATTCGAATTCCCATTCCGATTACCCCCGCAGAACCCAATTTCGAAGCAAATCGAAAAAAACAGCAGGAAAAAGTTCAAGTTATTTATTTGAGCGTTTCACATTTTTTATCAGGTCTGCACATTTTTCTTATTTATGGCAAATGATTTTATTCCTTTGCGAGCCAAGTTTAAGTGCGGATGCCCATCCCCCATCCATTTGTCCGCACCCCCCGCACCCCAAGCTCCATTTCCGCCCCTCATGAAGGCAGTGCACTCTGCTGACAGCAGCAAACACTGAAAGGGAGGAATTATCAAGCTCTTGTAATTGTAACCGTTAGCGGAGTCTGAGTCGGAGATTGCGACTCCAACTTCGAATCCTGCTTGAAACACAAAAGCGTACCCTCAAGCATTTTCCAGACATGTAGCAGACACGCCCATTGCCAGTCCCGTTTCCGTTCTGTTGCTCATACGCCGCGTGTGTCAACCCCCAGCACTTGATGGCAGGAAGCTGCCGTTGCAGACTTTTAATTCCGCTCATGCACCGTACGCAACTCAGACTTCACTCTGGAAATTTAGAAAGGCGCTGAAAATTAAAGTTGAAAGCCTAAAAACTCAACTCTCGGGATCTTAGATTTCCCATAATTTTTTATTCGATATAATTGCTTTATGTTTTCAATAGCTTAGTTATTAATTAATTGCAGTTTAAAGATATAAACAAGATATATGTTAAGAATCGTAGATAAGTTTTACTAAATTATATAAAATATATATTAATCAAACATGCTATTGCATTCTTTATGAATGTCGGTTTGCTGAACATGAGTGCTAAATTCGATTTATAATTATCAAATAGAAAAAAAAAGGTTGAGTGTTGATTCAAATTCGACAGGAAACATTCTAATATATTCATTTGTTGTTGCTGTCCCCAAATTTAAAAAAACAATTCATCTTTTATTTTTAAGGAGAACAAACAACTTTCATTTCTTGCTATCCAATATAAATACCCATTTAAAGAAGGTTAAGTGCTCCGTAGGGATTATATTTTTAAGAATGTACTCCATCTTCTTTGCGAATTTTCCGCACAGTGCAGCATTTAAGCTTCCCTTCGTTTCAGATCCTCGACGAGCACTACCTGCACAAATACAACGACATCGTGCACAAACACGGGCTAATCACCTCGACTTTGGGCCTGCAGCTGCCGCTGGAGCCGCGCCACTTCCACGACGGCGACATGCGCGTCAAGTGCCTGGCCAGCATATCGCCGGTCCTGTGGAAGGGCGGCAAGGAGAGCGTCCTGCAGCGGCGGCCGGGCATCATCGACAACCGCGAGGCCATGCTGCTGGGTGAGTGACCTCGTGGTCAATTCGTTTTGCTCCCCGACTAACTCGATTTTCCACAGTGAAAGGAGCTGCCTGCAACTCGCAGAGCAGTTTGCTGCGCACGCTGACCATCGCCATCATTCTGGCCAGGACCGGCCAGTGGCTACTTGGCTCGGAACTCACCTAAGCCGGCCCGCGAAGATGGCCAGCACTCCATTCGACTCGTTTCAATTAACAAGCATTCATTTCAATTCAATTCAATTCAATTGCAATTGCAGAGCATAAATGGTGATTTTGTATACTTTAAGTGTAATATCCTTAGTTCTTAAGCGAGAAGAGGAGCAGGCGATGAAGAGCGGTAAAGTAAAAAGAGACAAAATGGGTAAATGTGTTATAGCATGTAAAAATCATAAGGCAACGCGAGAAGAATCGAGTTAAATAGTATTAAAGGAGGACCAACTCCTCCTCAAAACAAATAACTCCTGTGCAGAGAGAGACACACAGAATTCAATTAGCAAAATTGTTAAGTAACTAAATTGAAACCCCATATATATGACATATCCCCCCGCCCATCGTCCCCAATCAAGCCCGTCTAAAGGGTTCGTTGTGCGTAATTTCTGTGTAAATACTTGAATGGAAACGACAAAGTCTAGGGCAAACTTTGGACTTTTGTCAAATAATGTCTGAGTGGCATCAATTTCGAATGGTAGCTGGAAACTTTGCCATAACAGATGCTAAAACTACATTATTGCAAAAAACAAAAATCAGAAAACAAATGGGGGCAAAGTAAGCTGGGAAAGGATCCTTTTCCCCTCTTTTAGTTACGATTCCGGCAAGTATTTGCTTTCTGACTCCGAAAAGTATTTCCAATTGTATTTAGTTCTGTAAATTAAGTCTGTAAGGGAGAAGGATGCTCGTAATAAAATTATCTTGTTGAAGGATCAATTACTGTTAACTCTCCGGCTAAAGTTGAGACATTTTCGGTTGCCGCACATCCTAGTTGTATGAACTGTATAAAAGAGAAAATGGATATGTGTCATATCTGTTTAGGCTAAGAACCTTTGCTAAACTAGAAATATAAGCTAGGTGTTTAAGCTGTAGTCAAACTGTCCCCCCAAAAGATTACCCCTACCTGTATGTAGCAATACCTAGAAGCTCCCCAAAGATATAACTACAATATATGATACGATGATGCGAAATAACGATGATATGTATATGTATACAATAAATGAGTACGACAAGGCCCTTTTTCCCCCAGAGTGTTTAAACAAATATAAATGTGAAAGCAAACGCCGAGTTGTCTTCTTACTTTTCGCGCTGCCCGCAGATTCCCATACAGATACGCAACCGGATACGGAAATGTTATCTGCTACACGCACACGGGCCTTGCAGCAGACATTAACACCTGAAGGACCAAAGTTGCTCCTCTTCTGCTCTTCTACTCTTCTCATTTTCCAGAGGTGTAAAAACCGTGGTTGCCTCTGCAGCGCCAACAAAGAAGAAACAAAAAAAAAACAATATATATATAGAACATAAAAGCGGCAAAGTTAAAATAACACGTACAAATTTTGTATGCAAACAAACCGCAACACCCACACACACGCACGAGCCCGCTTACCCACACACACATACATACAGGAGGCGCTCACACACACGCACGCGAAATGGCGGCGGGTGAAAAAATTGCGTGCAGCCTTTTAGGCGCTGCCGACTAACAACACAACTCGCTTCGCTTTTATATGCCATTGTAGCCGGCTTCTACTCTTGCTCTTCTTGGCCAACATTTTGATGGCGCACTAAACTTTATGCGCGGCACATAAATAGAAATGCACGCAAAAACTTTTACAAAGCTAGAACCGAAATATCGACGTGGAGTGGGTCTGTGTTTTCTGGAAGGAAAGGCAAAGGCAAAACCGAGGGGTGGTCACACGAAAATGGTTCGTGAAATGGCAAGAGTGGAATTCATGCGTGGCCTGCGGCAATTGAAGCGATCTGTTTACCTTGGGTAAGGCAAGTCACCTCTGAACCCACCTACCTGGTCAGCCACCCACCATTACCACCGAAGAGGTCAATCTAATCTGCTTCTGCACTTGCCCAGTTTGGTCAAGATTTATGTGTGCCTTGCATTGCATAAGCGGCGCCATTTAAATGTCTGGGTTCAATTTGGTACACTGAAAGAGTTTGCTTTGTACACCCACAGAAAAACGGCATAGTAAAATTGAACATTAAATGTTTGAGCATTGTTTTTCATAATATTACTATGTGACAATTAACAATATTTAATTGTTTTATCCCATAGGAAAATCTTAGATTATATTTTTTAATTTTAAATCTAAATTTTACATTACTTAATTAAAAAGTTATGTGCACACACTTTGATTTTGACTAATCCCCCAACGGGTCTATATCAGTACCCAAAATATTTAATTTAAAATTCAAATATTTTGATTTGTGAAGATTTTCTTTATTTGGGCGTCCAATTATACGGGAGTACCGCTTAAAAGAAATTCATTGTGTTAATCAAAAAATATAGGAACAAACATTTTAGTTGTTTTATTGAACTTTTAAATTTTTGAAAATATTAAATAAATGCTAAGGGTCTTAAAAATTACTTTAACGCTGGGAACCGATCTTAATCTCTCAAGAGTAAAAGAAAGACAAAAATTTGTATAAAAATGCCAGAATTTCCTGTGTACCCAAACACAACAAATCAGCCAAAGCCATCATATGTTCGGGCTTGTCGGACAGTGGGCGTGGCCAGTTGAAACAGGGCGATAGAACGGTGGGGGTAGCTAAAAATTTATTGCCGCCGACTGCATAGCTGATAAATTTAGTTTGCACTCAACTGGGCGCGGTCAGAGCCTCACAGCGATGGTGTTGGAAATTATGACGCGTCAATTGGCGGGGGCACCGCCCAGCCACTGAGCCACCCAACCACCCAGTCACCCAACCACCCACTTCACCAACCAAAGAGGTGCGTGCGGAAGTGGCTGACTAAATTGCAGCGGCGCTTAAAACAACAATTGCTTTTGATTTAAGTTGCCTTAAATTAGTTTCCACATAGCGGCTGATTAATGAGTGCAGCGAACTTTCTGACAGCGCCAAGTTGCCGTCCAGGAAGTGGGCGTGGCACGATACGAAGGTGCGCTCCTGCCGCAGACACTTTATCAAAAAGGTAGCGTTTGGCGAAAGAAGGTGATCAGTGGACACTTGGCAGATGGCAATTTATGACCACGTTGGGGTCGGAAATTTTAAGTAAATATTTTTACGGCAACACTTCAGCATTCCATTTGCAATGGTTTATGAAAACATCGTTGATTCCATGCCGTAGTGGTGCGCAGAAAAAGGTTAAAACACTGTCCATGCATTGCCATGCATAATTTATTACGCCACTCCCGATGCCTGTTAAAGGCAAATCAAAATGCACTTCATGGCACGGCCAACGGATACGAAATGCAGCAAAATAATATGCCATTTCCATCATTTTCTCGTCGATTGAAATGCAGAAATGAAATGGCTGGAAGGCCAGTGGGTGGTCTTGACCACTTTGGCAATTTGCATAATATTGATTCCATTTGGCCAGCCTCGCAGCCTTCGAACACGGCCCGTAATGTCATTGCGAGTATTTCATGCCCATGGCTTATACCATGGCATCGCATCAGCATCCCCATCTTTGACATGGACTATACAAATAAATTCGGCTCAACGAATTGGGTAAATTGAGGTCCCCTGCCTGCCTGAACCGCACAAGCATATGAAAGTCATGAGCCGCCGTGCTGAAAATTATGCTAATTGGGACAGAGGCTGATGAACTGCCGCCTCAAACGGTTGCCAGTAGAAAAACGCATTTAGCCGATGTTTAGCAATTAAGCGGCAGTGTCTGCCTTGGCCCGATAAATGCTAAAACGAGAGATGCCAGTTGCAGAGCAGTCCCCTGCTCTAATGAGATTTGGCTCTCGATATTCCCAAAAACCGAACACCGGAATCGAGTGGGTTCGCCTTCGCATATGTCGCTGCTGCCATGATGATCTTGCACCCACCCATTTGGCTATCCACAACTGGTGGCATTTGCATGCAAAACTGGCCCGTTACGTTATGAATACCAGAGTTTCGTCGAGCCTCCAGAGAGACCAAACACGAGGTCAGCTGGAAACTGCACTGGATCGCCTATTTAAGGCCCAAATTAGCGGTCGAATGATGCACTTTGTGCCGCTCTGGCTCTGACATGCTTATTCGACTGACAAGGGAGCTAAGCCCGAGCCCGTGCCTCGCGGATATTAGGCCTTTGATTGATGGCCGCGAAATGTGGTAATAGTTTTCGGCCAGCTCTGCTCGAAATAGGGGGTTGGGTGGGACAGCACTGTTTCAATAGGTCCCTACTGGCGGGTCGGCTGCACAAAGACATACACATAAAGTGGTTACAAGTATGCGGCAATTAGCATTAAACGAGCACCACATGCCAGCCACAATGCCAGGACACGGCCCAGAACAAGGCAGTGTCCTTAGGACACCAGAGGCGGCAGGGGGTCCTGTCGACATAATAATATACACACAACTACGACTAGCACACCCACACATTTTCTATGGTGTTTGAGGGGGGGATGGTGGTTGAGGGGGCACAACAATGTCATCGACAAAATACAAGGGCCAGCTCACCAGTCCCCGGGCAAAGAACTCTTTTGTTGTCCCAGTCAACAATTTGAACCCCCATCCAGAACACCGCCCACAAAAATCCTGATTACTTAACTAAATATGGCAGCTTATGGCTGGACACGGCCCGTGGCCAGTGGCCAATGGCACTAAACTCTCTGATTTACACGATTTGCATACGCTCAGCCAGAGGCAGAGTGCGAGGCTTTAATTAGCAGTCGCGGGCCTTCATCAGCCAGCAGCTGTCCACCTGAACCCGAACCCAATCCGCCGAACATCCAATGAAGGCCGGGACAATGGCCAAAAGCATTGGTGTGGCGCCTGGAGGCTTAAAGTTTCATTAAAAACACAGAGGCGGATTTTCTGTGGACACTAAAGCTTAAGCGTGTTGCATTGTATCTAGTGCCCCATTTAACGATTTAATCACCAAGTCATGCTATTATCTTAAGCGGAATTAATGACCAAATATTGCGGACACTTAGTCAAAGTGGACAGAAATTAAAGATTGTGCAATTTTAATGTTTGAAAGCTTATATTTTTTAGCTATATTTTTTAGCTTTATAATATAAACAAAAAACAGCTAAGCAAATTCTTTTTTTGTAATTCTCTACTACCACTCCCTTAAGAAAATCTACATTTTCTGCAACCTAAATCTAGCCAAATAAACTCGTACGTTGGAAAGTGAAAACCCAAACTCGGCTAATTAAGTTTTTCCTGCCCCGAAAATAAAACTTTCTTTTGTGTCCTACTTGGGGCCCATTCCTTATGGCGGGTTCATTAGCATGTCGCGTCTTCAATAATAACTCAGGCCAAAGACAGGCCAAGGCCCTGGGATCTATAGTCGTCTTATCAGTGGACTCTTATCTGGGATACATAAATTCCAGCCTCGACTTGGCGTCGGCAAAGTTTCTTGGGGTCCCGTTTTGCGGGAAGGATGAGACTCCTGAGGCCTGCGATGGGCGGTGGTGGGGCGCTAATTAAGACACGCAAAGTGCGGCGTTAAGACAAATGGTTCCGTGGCACGTAAGCGGCGCGTCAATCTTGGCCAAGGGCCACGGGACTTGGGCCATGGGTCGGCGCAGCCCGCAGGCTCAGACATTTTTTCAGACTTTGGATATAATTTTGTGCTCCCAGAAAGTTTGCCACCAAATCCCCAACCGCCGATTTTACGGCTCGTAAAAAATGTCAATGAAGTGATTTATAAAAAGAAGGCACCGAACAAATATGCTAATGCGCCTCCGCTAATGAAATGTTCAAGTGGTCATCGCTGGTCAGCGGCTTATTAGCCAGCCTATAATATAGGCTCGAGCATAATGTCTTCATTTTTTTCCGATTTGGTTTTGCGTGCCTAAAGTTGCACATTAAATTGTAATGCCATATTTTATGCTGCCAGAATTTACATAAATTTATTGTGTACATGTGTGTGGGGTCTAATCAAATCAAAAGAGTGACGGGCCTTCCCGACCCTCTTTTCTTTGAATTACTAAATAGACATGCAAACTTCTCTGGAGGTTTTGACTCGAGGCAAAGTCGCTGTCTCCCCAGCACTTCAAAAAACACACACATCAATACACCCATACAGCTGTGCTTAAAATAATAGTAATTATAACAATGGGATAAATGTAACCAAAAATCATAACATGCAAAATAAGTTATTCAAAAATTATATTTGCTTGCATTTTGAGTAATAATCAACAATTTAAGAGTTTCTTTTATTTTTTAAGTGAATTGGCATTTATTTAATTTGTGAATAAATTCAACACTATTATTTTGACCATAGCCGTAGGTGTTTAGATGTGGTTAGAAAAAAAACTGGCCACGTTGCGCATACGACGCGTTGCCTGGCACAGGGCCAACAGACTGGCCAAAAATGCAGTCTCAGCAACAACAATAAAAATAACGAGCCCAAAACTCCATTGTTGTTCTTCCTTGGCTTTATTGTGCTGTTTTTCCCTCTGTCCGACCGACGGAAGGCGATCCGAGGAAGGCGCATGTATAATTAGAGCTATGAAGCATGTCCGGTGAAGTTTGGCATTTAAATGTGGCAATAACAACAATAACAACAGCTACAGCAACGGGCAGCAGAGGTAGCCAGATCGCCATTTTGCCATTACCAAGTTGGAAATTGGGCATAGCCCAGAAGAGGCGGCATTGTTGTTCCCCAGATATATTTTATAATGCCAGAAACATGCACGAGATTCCGAGCCCAACATGCGACGGTGTATGTGTGTGTGTATGTGTATGTGGATTTCGTTTAGTTTACGTACTGCGACTCCGCATGCAAGCAGGACCGGGAGAACACGAGGGATACGAAGGACACGGAGCACCCGGAAGACACCCAGACCGGCTGGGAGAAGCTAACCAACCAACCAACAAACCAACCAACCAACCAACCGACCAACCGAATCCCGGAATTACCCGGCGGTGGGAGCGGAACAGGAACTTTGTGTGCAACTTTATCTTTTGATTTATACAATAATAAACACAAATGTGCACAAAAGTTCTTTGTACTTTGTTCTTTACTCTGGCAAAGTTAAATCGGGAAATGTTTACATGAGCAGTTGACTCCTGCTAATTGGAAGTCCTGTCAAAAGCGTCTCTCCCGGGGAGAGTCCTTCGCCGAGCATATTACAGCGGCTTATAGCAGGGGATTAAAGCGAGAAAAAAGAGTCCAGCTGACCCCCTTAAAGGATGGACCCAAAAACAGCAGGGATCCGAAAGACTCCGCTGGCCGGATCGATTTTCAATTGTGGCCAACTGGAGTCGGGGCAATTCAATGAATCGTAAGTGGCCCGACCCACCCACAAAAGTGTGCCTTAACCCATTAAATGCAAGCAACAGCAATCGAACACGCAACCCTTGGCGCAGTCACAAAACGTTAATGCAACCGAGCCGACCAGCCAACAGTGTTGTCAAATTTGTTTTCCTTCTAGCTATTTTAAAACCAATTTTAGTTCAACTTAATGAGTAGCTTAAATAAAACTGTAATACAATACATAAACTTGTATTAAACAAAAACCTTTTAAATGACATTTATTGTGTTCTCTTTTTCAGTGCTAAATATATTTTTTGTATATAACATAAAACACAGATTAGGAAGGGTTAAACAAAATTTTTTTTAAGTCTTACAACTGGGACAAGCATTATATTAAACCAAGTTTTTAGTTATAAAAAGTTGGTACGTAGTTGAGCCATCTTCGATACTAATACTTTTTGGCTTGTCTGTTTTGGTGACATCGACACCACTGCCGCTCAAAAGTTGGAGTTGAAGTTCCATGTTCCATGTGGCGTCAATGTGGTGCACATTAAGCTCAACACCGCTTTAACGCGAACAGCGTCGAAGCGCCACTTTAAGGCGCTGCCTGTAATGGCCGGCAAACTCATTCGGTATTCGGCAGAGGCGCCGCGTAATAATGTTAAATGTCAGGTGCAATGCAGCTGTCCCTGCCGCAATCGAAGTGGAAGTGGCTGTGGAAACGAAAGACGAACCCGGACCCGGACCCGGATCCGGAGTGGAGGCGCACCAGCAGGCACTAATTAAGTTGCCCGGCAGCCGCGTAACTGCCATAAAATATGCGCAGTGGGAATTCGAATTCGGATCCGGATCCAGATCGCTTTGTCGGCCCAGCCAAACACTCATTGCAGTTTGCAATTGGAGTTGCAATGGCACTGGCACTGGCACTGGCAGTTGCACGTAGTTTATGGCATCGGGCTAAGCGAAGTCGACGCAAGTCAAGAAGTTCTCCATTTGTTTCCAGCCTTAAATTTACACGAGACATGCAACCAGAAAGTGATGTGGGTGTTGTACCATCAACCGGAAGCGGGGGAGTCGTAGATAAATGTCTTACTCAGTCAGGAGCAGCCAGGAGCAGTCAGGACTCAAGCTGGTCATAAAAACGAACTACCACTTACTTTAAACTACAAACCAAACACCTTTATTCTCCTTACTTTAAAATATAAAATACTAAAACTACTGTGCCTATTCTGCAGCAGGAGTTGGAATTGTTACTCTGTGCTCCTTCACATTACTAGACCCGTTATCATCTATCTGTGATTTCTGTTTAACGGGAGGAGGGCTTTTCCCTTTGGGTCCCAGTAAAAGATCAAGCCCACCAAAAGGTGCCTCCACTAGCAAGTACATTACATAGGCAAACAGCACGGTGAATCCAAAGGTCGACCAGAAGTTGAGCATCTGCAAGGTAGGAGATATGAAATATATTACCAAACAGATTTAAGCTTGTTGAAACCCACAATTGTGTAGTCCGAGAAATACGAATTGGTCCTAGTACTTCTCACGTTCAGCTCCTGGCAGAACATGTGCCAAATGTAGACGGAATAGGAGAGCCTGGAGAGGGGTTGCCACAGCGGGGAGGATAGGAAACTGTTGGCCAGTCCTCCGTATCCATGCATGCAGGCGAAGATCACCCAGCAGAGGGCCATTGACCATCCCACTCTCGTCAGTGTGTAGTACGAAGACTCCGCCACGGTGGACAAGGCAGGAGCACTCCACTGGGACGCCGGGTAGAGGGCAAAGATTGAGGTAAAGATCATGGCCAGGCAAAGGATCCAGCCCCAACAAACGGCAGACCGGCTCAGCCGGACCTTTTTTCCCTTATTTATGTGCTGGTAGTAGCCGAAGAGAAAACCTACCAGCCAAGGCGTGGCGTGTGTATGGGTACTGTTGTAAATTTCCTTCATCCCCTCGGGAGTGTACTTTCTGGTAGTTAAATAATTAGTAACAACAATTGAACAATGATTAGCATATACCAGTGGTCATACATACTTGTACATCAATGAGTATTCTTTGACCAACATGGTGGCAAAGAGACATCCCGAAAGTAAAACAATAATGACGACTATACCAGCTGCTGCTTTCTTACCCCATTTATAGAGAGCAATGAGTAAAATTGGGGATATAAGGAACAACTGCATGTCCACTGCCAGATACCACGAATGACCAAGACACTAAAGTCCAAAGCAATGCGATTAAAACTTTTTAGATTAATAACGACTCCGACTTACGTTGTCTTCTGTGTAGTTGTTCACGAAAAGCAAAGTCAAATACCAACTTCTCTCACACTCACTCTTTTGAGAATAGCCGTCTTCAAAAAGGGGTCCGTCTGTTACCATAGGCATAAATTTCATATACACGACAATGGCAATTGCCAGAAGCGGAACGATACGGATTAAGCGATGCAGATACATCATAGGTACATTTAGTTTGCCTTGGGTTCTGTGAAAAAACAAACAATCCAATGTGTCACATATATGTGATTGCTTTATAAATTAACTCTTTGCCTTACCTATCCATTAGTCTCAACGGAATCAGCGCCACCAACATTCCGCCCAGCACGAAAAACGAATCCACTGAGAAAAGCCCATGAACAATTAAACTGGCATATGGTGTCTGCACCCACTGTAATATTATCATTTATACAAAGTTTTTACAGTGCAAGTAATGCGCTTACCGAAACAGCATTGAAAATATTAATATTCGCAGCAAGTAAAGACAATACGTATTGGTGGCAGAAAACCACCCATATAAGAGACAGACACCTTATTCCATTTAGACACTCGATTACATTCGGATTGGCTCTGGCATCAACAACTCGGAAAAGAACACGAGAGTTGGCGCGGGCTGAAAAGACCTTGACTAACGCTGGTAGACGTTCTATGAAATACGGATTATTCTGAAATTTCCATGGCACACTTATAATGTTTGGCTACTCACCTTGATTTTTCACCAGACAGTAGTCCCACAGAGTAAACAAAGCTACTAGGGCAACCATCAGCGATAAGAAACTTCTGAATTCGGCAAGCGTTAGCACAAAACTAACTAAAGGTTCAGTACACTTACATCATAAAAATGGTGAGTCCATCCCAGGGTTCCCTTTCACTTGTCTGGCAACTGGTATCGCTGATGATCATGGCTGAGCTGGGTATATTGACGTTGAAGAACTGCTTCATCAGTTGACCCACAAACGTGTTTATGTGAGCTGCCGAGCAGGAAGCCGGAAAGCATGTGGCAGTTTTAAAGTTTCCGATCCCACTGTCGACACCCAGAATTTTGGAAGGAGACACTGAGAGAAAACAGTACTTTCCCTGGATAGTTCTGCCCTGGCTGACCTCCTTTATGATGTTAAGACACTCGTCGAAGTTTCCCAGGTCGTACACGTTACCGGTAAACAGGCCCGATGGAATAGAACCCCAGGAATCGAGCACTGACATAGTACAGATTACACGGTCATAAAAAACGTATTCAGTGCCCAGTACTGACCACTTTCCAGTCCCATCATTACCGCAGTCAAGTCACTGAGGCACAGAAGATCCTCCTGAGTTGGCACTCGCGTGTCAAACAAACTTGTCTCGTTCAGTTCGACATCCTGAAAGTGTCCAGCAAACGCTAGTCCTAGCGATCTGAGTTGCTCAACCCGCTGAAACTCCGGCCGGACAGCTCCTTCAGTGAATGTATCCGCACTAACGAGGACAAGCCCGCAGAGGAAGACCACTCCGACTATGTTGACCATGCTGGCTCAACGCCTATTGATTGCTTTATGTCGAAATCGCAACCTTTTATATGCGAGTTATGTTGTGATAAGCACCTTCTAAGAAAACAGATTGTGACAGTGATATGATAATCAATTCGATTGAAGAAACCTAATAGGGTAATCTTTTAACTTATCATTTTTAATCGCTACTTCATAACATATTTAAACAAAATATTTAATAAGATTAAAAAGCAAATAATCTTAAAATTTCTTATAAGTGCCATTAAAAAGAGTAAAATGCTAATAAAGTGTATAAATTAACACTCTTATTGCAAATAGTTAAAATAAATTAAACCAAACAAGGAAGCAAACTTCGGCAAGCCGAAGATCATATACCCTTGCAGCTATTTAAAAATGAAATATTGAAGCTATGATGATTTGCAGCTCCATTATCCGATAGTTCCTATGACATCAACACCATATCGTTTTCCGATTTTAATAGAATTAAAAGAGTAATTCTGAACTGTCACATTATTAATAAGTTAAAAAGAATTAGAGCAAAAAATTATAAAATAGAAAAGATAATTTTTTTAAAATTTATTTATTGTTGCCATGGGAGCATTATTTTATAGTCGTCAGATTTTGATGAAAAATAATGAACAGCAGAATTATAATTTCATTTATTTTTCCGATTGTTCCTAAGGGAGCTATATGTTAAAGTCGTCCTATCCGGCTCGTTCCGACTTATGTACTACCTGCAATAGAAAGACAACTTTTGGGAAAGTTTCATGCAGTTCGCTTTAAGTCTGAGAGACTAGCTTGCGTAGAAACGGACGGACAGGCGGACAGACTGAAATACGGACAGACGGACGAACAGACGGACGGGCGGACAGACGGACGAACAGACGGACTGACAGACGAACGGACAGACTGACAGACGGACAGACGGAAAGACGGACATGGCTAGATCGATGCTGATCAAGACTATATATTATATGTAACCTATAGGGTCGGAAATGTCTCCTCCACTGCGTTGCAAACTTCTGACTGAAATTATAATACCCTCTGCAAGGGTCTATGAGAGTATCTAATCAGTTGCTGTTTGTGTATTGGATTCAGTTGCTTTCGGCTCGCTTTGACTTGTTGAATTGTCGTCATCAATTTGATTCTTCGTAGTCTGATCCGATTCCGTCGGCGTTTTAATCTCAGATGGTGCCCTCCTTTGAGGCCGTAAAAGCATATCCAGACCACCAATTGGCGCCTCAATAAGCAGGAAAAGTAAATAGGAAAACAGTAGTGTGAATCCAAGGGTCGACCAGAATTGAAGCATCTGTAAAAATTGCATTAAGGCATGTATGGACTTAAAAAAATCTGTTGGCATACCACTTGGTAGTCCGAGAAGTACGTGTTTGTCCTGGTTATCCTTTGGTTTATCTGTTGGATAAAACTGTGCCAGATGTAGGCGGAGTATGATAGTTTTGAAATGGGTTGCCACAGCGGAGAGGAGAGGAAACTGTTGGCCAGGCCTCCGTATCCTTGCATGCAGGCGAAGACCACCCAACCGATTGCCAATGGCCAACCCACTCGGGTCAGGGTATAATACAACGATAACTCCAAGGTGGTCACTTGCGGAACAAATGTTTGAAGTGCCGATTGAAGAGCGAAGATCGATGTAAACAACATGGCCAGGCAAAGAATCCATCCGGACCAAACCGCAATCCAACTCAGCTGGAACTTCTTGCCCTTACTCAAGTACAGGAAGTACCCGTACAAAAATCCAATCAGCCAGGGAGCAGCATGAGTGTGTGTGTAGAAGTACATCTGCTTTTGCAGACTGAGATCAAGGCTGTGGAGTGAAAATTGTCGTGTCGTAAATATATTATACCAAAAAGAAGAGAATCACTTTTGAATCATTTCCATGGCAGCTTTGTTATACATTCTTTATCTTTTTGAGTAAGAAACTAAAACATATTGCTTCTAGGGACCGAATGAGGAATTGTTTACAAATGTCTTATTTTATGTTAAAATGTACTGTTAACTTTTTGCATTAAAAAGTGTTTTTGTTTGACACTTAATAGGGCTGCAAATTTAATCACTAAGAGTATAAAACACATACCTCGTTATTGAGTAGTGGTTGACCATCATAGTGGCAAAGAGGCATCCAGAAAGCAGTACTATGAGAACAACAATACCAGCAGCAGCCTTTTTGCCCCATTTGTATAGAGCGAACAGCAGAATCGGAGAAATGAGGAACAATTGCATGTCCACCGCCAGATACCAGGTATGATCAAGACACTACAATTATAGGATTGAGTTATTGTGTTTCAAAGTAAAATGTATCTTCTGATCAATATTACCATGTCGTTCGCAAAGTTAACCACAAAAAGCATAGTCAAATACCAGTTTTTTTCACATGACGCTTTTCCATTGTATCCGCCTTTGAAAAGAGGTCCGTCTCCGAAAACTCCTGTAAGCTGAGTGTAGACTAGTATAGCCATGGCCAAAATGGGCACAATACGAATCAAGCGGCGAAGGTACATCATAGGCACATTAAGTTTGCCCTTAGTTCTGGAAAGAAATGAATTAATATTGTATGATATATCCCCCATGGAGACAAGTCCCTAACTTACTTATCCATTAACCGCAGCGCAATTAGAGACACTAACAATCCGCCGATAAAGAAAAACGAATCCACTGAGAACTGTCCGTGCAAAAAAAAATTCGTGAAAGGCCTTCTAAACCACTATAAAATATTAATGCTGTTCAAAATGTTTGAAAAATGTTAGAGTCTAAATCATACCGGAAGAATACTAAAACGATTAATATTTGGTGAATAGAGCACGTTCATGTATTGATGAAGAAAAATCACCCAGAAAAGAGACATGCCACGAATTCCATTAAGGCAGTGGATAACATTCGGACTTGACTTATTCGGCACGATGCGGAAACAAGCACGCGAGTTGGCCCTGGCCGAAAACACCTTGACTATCAGGGGAAGCTGATCTGTAAAAGATATTATTAGTTTCGGAAATCAAAAATTTAGGTGTTATTCACCTTGATTCTTGCACAAGAAAAAGTCGTACAGCGTGAAAAGAGCCACAATGAACCCCATCAATGATAGGATTACTCTGTAATAAAAAAGCTTAGCAAACTATTGAATTACGAGTAAAGAAGAACTTACATAGTTAAAATAGTGAGGGCATTCCAGGGTTCTTTCTCATTGGTCTGGCAAGAACTATCGCTGATACTCATGGCTGTGCTGGGAATGCTCACGTTTAGAATTCTCTGCACTATTGCACCCACAAACTTGTTCATGTGTGTGGCTGAGCAGGAGGCCGGAAAACACGTTGCTGTCTTCATTTTTAGAAATGCACCTATGGCACTCTCAGAGCCCAACATTTTACTGGGGTAAGCTTCCAAAAAACAGTACTTTCCACGAATGTTGTCCTTTTTAATATTGATGCACTCGTCAAAGTTGCCCAAGTCATAAATGTTGCCCGTAAATAAACCAGAGGGTATCGAGCCCCAGGAGTCAATCACTGTCAACATATAGATCAGCAAGTTATATTTTCACAACATATTAATTTATTAGCGTACTCACTTTTCAGTGCCCAAAGTTGGCCAGATCGAAGAGCCATCATAAACTGAGCCATATCATTGAGGCACAGCAAATCCTCCTGAGTTGGCAATGAGGAGTCGGAAAGGCTCAAATCGTTCAGCGTTACATTTTGAAAGTAGTCGGCAAACTCAATACCTAGTGGCTTGAGTTTTTTAAGACCCTGAAATCCTTGAAGGAAACTTTTATCCTCGGGTTGCTCTGCGCTAATGAGAACGAGCCCAAAGGGCAAAATAAAACTTACTAAATTGACCATGCTAACTCAAACTGTACTGAACGCCACTATGAAGTTCGTTCGACCTTATATACGAGCAGTTATCATTGATAGCACTGTTAAGCGTTACGAGCAGTTATCATTGATAGCACCGTTAAGCAAGGTTGGTCGCAAAAGTCGAGTAACGACTGTTATATACCCCATTATAGTTCCAATCACAAATGCGGTAATCCCTACTTTCTCATACTTCTATTATATATATGAATTTTATTAAAAGTTAATTTTTTTAATTTGCGTAAGCCTTTATAAATCAAAGAATACAAAAAGCCATAGATAAGGCCCACAACCTCTGTTCTTATTGTTACATACATTAGAAACCTTGTGTATATAAAACTGTGAGTACTGAGTATCAATCTCTTGACAGTTGATAGGAAACATTCAAGAGCCTTAATAGGGTCGTAAAATAACATCTGGTAACGGTGACGAGTCAATCAGACCAAGTTTTTTTTTAGAATTTGACAAACGATTTCTTTTTAAAGATTTGTAGATTGTTAATCATTTCGTAAGACAATTTTTTTAATATTTTGATAGTGCAGTGGAATGATACTTATGGAATACTATTTGTTATTAAAAATGCTATGTTTATTAATTTTGACAAATTTTGAATGGCAAGTTTTTCCAAACTATGGATGAAAAATAAATTCTGTCGTTTAATTTGAGTTGGTTATGATATTTTTGAAAATATTTTTCAAGACATAAGCTAAAAAATGTGGTGTGTTTTTTGATAGTTAAATATAAGTTTTATTTCTGTAACTTTTTTCAACGAATGCCATTTTTTTGAGTGTGGTTTGTATTTTAAGCCGCAGGAAATAGTTAATTTTTAAAAATTAGTAGTTAGTTAGTTGAATAGTTTTATTCAATATTATAATTAATATAGGGCTTACTAACCGGTCAGCTAAATTAAGTTGCCTATTTCTTACCGATAGTACGTTATCTTAATAATTCGAAGAAGTCCTAGAAACGTTCAGTTAGAACTTTAGCTCACTGATAAAGTTAGAATTCGTTATAAAATCGTCCACTTTAGTATTCCTGCATGGCAATCACCCGCTTCTGGGGATTTTATTTATTTTTGGCGCCTAATAAATTCAACAGAAATTTTCTTTTTACGAGATAAAGAGCATTTCCTTCCTTATCATCAATACAAATTGAACACATATTTGATAATTGTTGGGAAGTTTACTTTGGAAATTATTAATCACGTCGCATAAAATATAAATCTTCTGTTTATGCTGCTATTTTCGAATAAATTATTTAAGCTAAAGTTATTTAATTGAAGACTAAAATAAACACAGTCTATTAGATATTTATATTAAGAATAAATTATTATATAATTACATTTGCGTAAGTGTAACTGCCTTAAGTTAAATTTCTGGACAACCAATATATCAGACTGAATAACGGGGAAATATATGAGATGGAAGACTGAGGATCTCTTGAGGATCATCGGACACATGACATGTAAATGAGAATGGCCTTGGCCAAATCGGGTAGGATTCTTATTTACCGATGCAGATACATAAGAGGGCCATTTAGATTTCCCTTGGATCTGTAGTACAACGACATTTAAACTATAATATATTCAAGAAATATTGTAAAGCCTACTTGCTTTTCTAATGAGGGCAATCATCGCTACCAACAAGCCACCCAATAGGAAAAAGGACTCTACAGAGAACACACCTTGAAGGAGAAGAATTTCTCAGCCCACTAGAAAATATGACGTTATTTTGTAGGTTAATGTTAGGCATGGTGACAAGGGAATAGACTACCCAAATATTTGAGCCTCTCAATTCCTGAAGAACTCGAACCACAAATCTCTTCAAAGCCGCAATGACGAGCAGTCAACCAAGAGATGCGGAGAGAAAACAGCACTTTCCCTGAATTCAATGTGATCTGCTGACTGATCTTGAGGCACTCATCATAATTGCCCAGGTCGTAAAAGTTTCCATAAAGCAGGCCCGAGGGAATGGAACCCCAAGCATCGATTTCTAAAATATCAAATATAATAACAACAATTTCCTATTTATATCATTGAGAGCCCAAAATTGTACAACTGATAAGCTTTTAATAGCCGTTGTCATGTGCGTAAGGCATAAGAGATCCTCTTGTCTCGCCAATTCTGTTTTGTAATTCAAAGCCAAATCCTTGATGGAAAGATTTTTAAAGTATTCCGCAATCTCTTCACCCAAAGGACGAATATGCTTTAGTCGCTGAAATAGCTCTAAACGATCTGTTCCCTTCAGTTCTTAGCCCCCATGAGAACCAATATGCCGAGCAAAAAAATGGTAAAAACTTTAGCCATGCTCCCTCGAATTGATCTTTTTGGCCACCTGTTCTTTAGGGTAAAATTGGTAGATAAGCGATAAGCTTGCGGTTTAGTTGTCCAGCCGATTAGACAAAACAATTTTAAACATCTAGACGGGCAATTCCGCATTTCAAGCTTGTCGACTTCCCCGATAGTTAGCAATCAGTTAATCGTCTGGTTACCAGAAACTCTTGACCATGCAATGTGTATGTTATCTGCTATCAGGCTGAGCTAATCATTGTGTCAGCGAGCTGATATTGAACTTCTGCGAAACGGTGAATGAACCCACAATTACAATAACATACAGATAAGTTTGTTTAAGGTCTAATCGCAATACCCAAATCCAATTCCATAAAATAATAAAGATTATTTAAATTTACAAATTGATTAACTAATTATTGAGGTAACGTAGCATTTTCAAGTGGGCTCGTTTCAGACACACTTTGATCCTCTGGTTTTCTGGTCTCTAAGTCATCATTCTGATTTGAAATAAGTGCTGGTGGATTGGGGGCAGGCGGTACCCTTCGTGTACGGATAAGACTATCAAAGCCACACAAAGGAGCTTCGATGATAAGATACAAAAGGTAGGACATCAACAGTGTAAAGCCAAAATCCAACCAGAAATGCTCCATCTGTTAATAAAAGGGGAGGTATAACAAAAATGATTTATTACAAGTAAAAAGACAACATACCACAGAGTAGTTGGAGAAATATGTGTTCGTCCTATAGTTTCTGCTGTTCACTTCTTGGACGAACATGTGCCAAACATACACCGAGTATGAGAGTCTTGAAAGTGGCTGCCACAAGGGAGTGGAGAGGAAACTGTTGGCCAGACCACCATATCCCTGCATGCAGGCGAAAATCACCCAGCAAATGGCCAAAGGCCAGGCCAATCGGGTGAGGGTGTAGTATAGGGATTCCTCCAGCGTGGACAGAGCCGGAGCACTCCACTGGGCCGCCGGATAAAGGGCAAAGATTGAGGTGAGGAGCATTGCCAGACTGAGGATCCAACCCGACCACACAGCCAGCCAGTTCAACTCGAACTTCTTGCCCCGATTCAGATGCAGAAAATATCCAAACAGGAATCCAATCAGCCAAGGAGCAGCGTGAACATGCGTGGCCAAGTACAACTTCTGGCTGGGAACGCCGTCGTCCTCAGCGGTATTCCTGCGTAAAAAAAAATATATATATTATATATATAATAGTAGTGCATACTATTTTAAATATAAAACACATACTTAATGAGCAGCGAGTAGTGGTTGACCATCTGGGTGGCAAAGAGGCAGCCCAAGAGCAAAACCACAAGTACTGCGATACCAGCAGCCGCTTTTTTACCCCATTTGTAGAGAGCAATTAGGAGGATTGGGGAGATTATATACAGCTGCATGTCCACCGCCAAGTACCAAGTGTGATCCAGACACTTAAATGGTAAAAATAGTGCAGACTATATTAATCAAATCTCTACCAAATGCATTATCATTATTTCATGCACTGCCCAAGCTTTGTCAACCATTTCCATTTAAACATTTTGATAACGTTATTTATCTGCTTATCTCTAAGTACCTACCATTAGAAATTGGAGTTCATATTACTCATAATAAAGTACTCACAATGTTCAAGACCGCGTAGTTCTGGATGAAAAGCAAAGTCCAAAACCATCCATTTTCGCAAGCCTCTTTGCCGTGGTACCCACTTTTGAACAATGGCCCACCACTGACAACAGTCATCATTGCCATATAGACAATTATCGCAACTGCTAGGACTGGCAAGATGCGTATAATCCGATGCAGATACATCTTTAGCGGGTTAAGTCTTCCACCAGATCTGTTTGGAACTTATACGTTTAATAAGTTTTTGAATATATATACCCTATACCCACTTCTCCATGGAACGCAGAACAATCATTGAGACTAGTAAGCCTCCAAGGACGAAAAATGAGTCTACTGAGAAGTATCCATGAAGCACAGCCCACTGGAAAGCGTATAGCATATTGCTTATGAACATAAGTTTGTTTTAATGTAACATGCTTACCGAATATAATTCCAATTTATTTAAATTGGGGGATTTCATAGTGAATATATATTCGTGGGAGAAGATGACCCAAATAAGTGACATGCAGCGGATGCCATGGAGACACTCGATCACATTGGGGTTCGATTTGCTTGGCTCGATACGGAAAAGTGTTCGGGAGTTGACCCGCGCGGAGAAAGCCCTTACCAGAGCTGGAATTTGATCTGAAAAGCAGCTATGAAAACTGAAGTGAGGAAGAAGGTTTTTAAGTTCCAACTCACTTTGATCCTTGCACAAAAAATAGTCATAAAATGTGAACAATGTCACAATTGCACCCATCACGGATAGAATCACTCTGAAATTCCAAAGTTAAGCCAAACAACATTTTACGAAATAAAAACACTTACACGGTGAAAATAGTCAGTCCATCCCAAGGTTCACCAGCACTTGTCTGGCAACTCGCCTCACTGATCTTCATACTTATGCTAGTGCTATTTAAATTGAGTTTTTTGTGCACAAGTTGCTTCACAAGAAGTTCCATTTGAGTGGACGAACATGAAGCCGGAAAACAAGTGGCAATTCTCAAGCTATTGGCAATGAGAAAACAGTACTTTCCGCTTATTTTCTGACTGCTGCTTATAACTTGGTTAATTGACAGGCATTCATCGAAGTATCCCAAGTCCCAGATATTGCCGGTCAGCACTCCGGAGGGAATGGAACCCCATGAATCGATCACTGGTAGATAAGCAAATACAAGCACTTTGATAACAGATTATTTTTATTTAGGTTGACTTACTCCTAAATGCCCAAGACTGGTTGGATGAGAAACCATTTATTAAAGCTTTCAAGTCCGCTAGACATAAGAGATCCTGTGGACAGCGAACCTCGGACTCGAATAAGCTCAATCGCTCCAGAGTAACATTTTGGTAGAACTCAGTAAACTCCTTTCCCAGCGTCCGCAGTTGCTTCACATATTCGTAGCTTTGCAGGACATCGGGATACTTCGAATCCGAGGCAATATTACCGACCAGCCCGAGGAGCAATAAAATACTAATAACATTAACCATTCTATTCTGATTTCGATTGTGGCTCTTAGCAAGCCGACCGTGATTTTATATGGCAAATCGCTATTTGATGATAAGCGCTATCTAAAAATGTGACAATCGAAAACCGATAAGCATTTACTTAATGTGACATATTCATAAGAAAACCTCTGATAATATAATATTTGAATCACATACTGTCCGCCAAAAACTAATCGATAATCTTGAGCACTATTTATATACATATATATATATATTTTTTTTTAATAAAGCTACTCTCTAAAAAAATGAAAAAAATAGAGTATTTTAATATATAAATTAGTTAAATATACAAATTAGTTAAGTTAATGTACTCAACCATAATTTTTAGTTTTAATCAGTTCATTCTTCTGCTTTATTTTTTTCATCACTGGCACTAGTCTTATGCTCCACAACTTTGTTTTCCAAAGATTCGATACCAGTGTCTAAACTGCCAAAAAAAAGTATTTGTCCTGGATCGCTTGGCTGCTTCTGATCTCTTGACGGATGCTGAGACACCCATAGAAATCGAATCGAATCGAGCACTAAAGGATTAGGAAATGGATTAGTTTGGTTTTCTATTAACCAATTTGATCAGACTTATTTTTAAGGGCTTAATAACTGCCCGCTTAAAGTCCTCCATCATATCCGCCAGGCATTGCGAATAATCCGAACTTATAGCTTGTATATCTATTTAGTGTAGTCAATATTTCGGGGATATATCGTCATGAGTAAGCTTAGGCCGTGATGGACTAACTGGAGCTCGTCCTTCGTCTGACAGCCACTGAAGAGTCCCAGTCCGAAAAGGACCAAAATGGCAATACCGTAGACCATGTTAATTCAATTGTATTTGATTGTCTTGACCAGGTCCCAAATGCTTTTATACGCCAACAGTCTTAGCGATAAGCACTATCAACGGGTATCCCAAACCAGTGGGCTGGGACCAAACTCATGGGAACATCCCTGATAATGAACAATCGTTCTAATTTACAGATATCAAGAACTCAAAATGATGGAGAGTAATGCTATTTGAAAATTTTAGAGTAATTATAAGTAACGTCGTCCCATTTACTCCACTTGCTCGCACCTGTACTTTTTTTGTTCGCAGCTTGAGCTCGACATAAACCTATTAAATATTTTTTTCCAATAATTTTCAAAGCATTAGCTCATCATCAATTTGCTGCTTTGTGAAAATTGGCAGCAATCACGTTATGCTCACCCAGCCACGCCCCCAAAAAAACACACATACATGCAGGGAATGAGGAAAAATGGGGAAAAGCAAAGACATACACTGGGTATACACACACCCACCTATTCTTAAGCACATTTGCTTAATTTTCGAAATGAGTTCGCATGACTTACAACCACCCACCATCCCGCATCTATCATCCAGTATCCTTTATGGCCGACTCTTCTTTCGCCTTTGACGCTGGGTCTGAGTCATTCGTTTGCTTTCTCGTTGATTAAATACGGAAATTGTTTGACTTTAGTTAGGCGCATGCAATTAATTAAATTAGAGCACCCGAAAAACCATCAAACGAACGGGACATTAAATAAACAGTTCAAAGTTGAAAGAAAATATTTTGAGACAAAAAGTACGAACAAAAAAAGGTTTTAGAAACATCGACACGTGGTAAACAATTACAATCTTATTTTCGGAGAATAGAATCTTGAAACCATGAGCAGGTTATCTGCAATTGAAATATATATTAAATTTAAATGTGACCAGCGCAGTAAAAACACCTGTTTTCAATTTATAAACTATACATTTTAAAAGTACGTTCAAAATAAATGTTTGTTCCCTCTTTTGTCGATGTATCTTTGCATTAAATCTTTTGTTTACGCCTTTCACAGGCGAAAGAGCGAGCATTGAAGGTTTTAGGGTTGGATTTCAAGGCGGTTATTGAAATTGAATAATCATTTTGTTTGAGGGGGCTGGACTTCATGCAAATTTCAATTTAGCTTGGGACCAGAATAATCCCAGCCAGCTCCTTTGGTCTCCGCGGTTTACGACTTTATTTCATGACAGATTGTCATTTTAGTCGACGAAAAGTGTAACACGCCAAGCCCCGACTGGCATAATGAGGGAATGGCGTTTTTTCATCATATTTTATTGGGCCAAGGAGCTGCGCTATTCATCATGTATCCGCGCATATGAAACCCATTTGCCCCAACTCATCCAATCCTGGCAGACGCGGCACGTGCCATAAAGCGGCGTGGCCAATAAAGTCGGTGCCGTTCGGCGCGATAATAAACATGCTAATGCTCATTAAGAGGCGAGTTTGAATTGAAAATCCCCCAAAATTAATGCCAGTGTCGACGTAACGTGGCTTTAGTTAATTGAACATGTCTACCGTGTAAATGCATAATTAAATTACTTCAACTTTAACTAAATCGCACACACGGTGGACCAGCAAGGTACGCTTAAATACTTCATTAGAAGCAATTCATTTGTTTAAACGGTTGGGAAAAGAGCGTATACCACATAATTGAATGCACTACATGCTGCACATCTGTCTACAGGGCCATGTAATTACGTTAATTGGCCTCAAATGCTATTAAATGTTTGCAAAACAGAATAGGCTTGCAATTATGTCAAGAGCTCGCACTTAATATAGTTTAAATATTATGCATTATTTATAAATAAAAAACTGGTACATTTGCATTATGCCTAATGCAATTGGGGATGGAAATTTATTTCAGCTTTGGAATATATTATTAATAGTAGAAATAAAATTTCATTAAAGCCAAACTTTTCTGTGTGACATTTAATTTGGCTAATTATAAATTGTAGAAATATAAGACGAATTAATGTTTACTGCATTTTAAAGAATTTATAATTGAAAAATTCAAGCAAAATTGTTAAATAAGTAAGTTAAAAATCTTGCAAATGTAATTTTTATGTGACCAAAAAAAATGATTAAAAAAATGAAAGCGATTGATGTTGCTATAAAAAATAATCGTCCCGCTGGCGAAAAGCAAACACATTTATTACTTATTGTGTTCATTAAACATTAAAAATGCAATTGCACAGAGTAAAAAAAATTATTTAAAGGCCTAATTAATTATAATGTTCTTGTCATATATTGTGTTAATTAAATTAAACGAGTCCGTTACTAAGTATTTTGATTTCTTTAAAGTTTTTAAATCGAAATCAAAATTAACTTAATCCAACAAATTAAAATAAAATTGTTCATTGTTTAAAATAAAATATCTAAGAAAAAGTCGTTTGTAAATGAAAAATAAACAAAGCACATCCCAAAAAAAATTGTAAAAAAGTCATTATAAATCGTCCATTACAAACAAACTAAAAAAAATTAAAAAACAAAAATAAAAAAGATTTTGTCAGAAGTGGGATTCGAACCCACGCCCTCAGAGAGGACCAGAACGCTCGCACGCCCTTCTGCGAAGGGCAAAGCAGAATGCCTTGAGTCTGGCGCCTTAGACCGCTCGGCCATCCTGACACGTTGCAATCGCTTGCGCAAAAAGCTGTTGTTAAGCTACGTCACTGAGTTCTGGGTGAAAAGTAGGGAGTTGGGAGTTCCGTTATTAACTTCTGCTACTACGATGCCATGATGATGACGATGATGATGATGGAGCGGTGGGGCTAAAAAGCAATACCGCAAACACACATTTTCACACCCATCGTCGCATGTCTAGAAGCTATTTATAGACTGCCTCCCCTTCTCCCTTACACACCCTGCCCACCTCTGGCCATCTCCCTCTCACAAAGCTCGCGTGTGTGGGCTTTTGGGGAAAGAGTGAAAAGTGGCTCTTTAATGGGCGCATTGCATACTTTCGGGCACAATTAGAGTTCATTGTTGCAGCCGAAATTCGATCGAAAAACCTTCTTTAATTACTTGCCATTTGGCCAGATGACTTTTTGTTACACATTAATTCGCCCTGAATCTGCGAAGGCTCTGCCAGACAAAGAGCAACTTTGGCCAAGTCAATTCAATTTCAATTTATCAAATGCTTCAGCAATTTCTCTAATTGAATTTCGTTTCATTTGGCATGGCATAATTTATAAAATATAACATTTCAATGCCGAGAGCCGAGAACCCAGCCCTCTTATTGATGCCATTCACTCAGCCCGAGAGGAGCTCTCTAATCCATTGTACGGACCCAGAGGCCCAGCATCCCGGCCATCCAATCATTTTGAGCGCATTCCGCATTCGCCGGCCATAAGTTTGCTTATAAATCACAACTGTCCGATGGCCGTAGCATCGAGCATCCTCAAGGCTTTTAAATCGATGAGCACATCGTCGGATTGACAATAATATTTTAAAAATAATTTTATTATTTCATTCAGCCGAGCACTCATGCAGACACACAAGGGAAAACTTCTGGCGATTAAAGAGGTGGAGCTGGAGGTGAATAAGGAGCAGCCAAATGGGAGGTGGGAGTTCGAGTTGGGGGGTTATGTCCATCGGGCATCGATGGAGCTGTGCCCGGTCATGCGTGAATGTAAACGCAGCGCGGACCCACTCAAGGGGCAATAATACAAATTTGAGCTTTTCCTTCGCTTCCCTCTATCTCTTTAATTAAACGACAAAAAGCGAAATCTAATTGTGTTTGTCATTTTAGTAATATTCAAAAGAACAAATTCCACGCCTATTCGCGGGGCCATCGCAGGTCGTACTGCCCGATGACGTACTTCAGCTTCCTGATGGCCAGTTCCACCTGCCCCTCGTCCACCTGGTGGTAGAGTACCAGACGGGCAAAGGCCCAGTCCCGGGCACAGGCCTTCACCACGATTCCGGCTCCGTGTTTACCCGTCACCCCAGCTTCCAGTTCTCCGGACTCCACGGTGCCAAGGCGGTCGGCGAACTCACTGGCCAACAGTTTGGGTTGAGTTATCTCCACCAGAAGGATATTGCTCTGCACAGTCTCCAGGCTCACGGTGATATTGGGACTCTGCAGTTCGAAAATAGCTGAGGAGAAAACCAATAATAAATTTGAAATCCAAATAATTGGGCTTGGCACTGCTTACCTTTCGCGATTTTCTTCGTACGCTCGTGATCTTTGCCCAGCAGCGGCACCACTTCATCCAAGGCCACTAGTCCAGCTGCTGCAAGCACGCCCGCCTGCCTCATGCCGCCTCCCAAAGCCTTGCGTAGACGGTGTGCTCTAAGCATTGAAAAAACAGATTACATCAGGGTTTTATATAATTATAATGAATTACAAATTTAAGCCCCTAATGCTATTCTATTTTTCTTTATTTTGTAAATATTATTTCTAGCAAAACAGATGAACATACGAGAAAATGTAACTATCCAATTGAAAATAAAAAAAACTTTAAATTTTTATTTTGAAACGTAATGTGACTCTTGTTTCACAAAAGATATGGCTTTTTTTGGTTTTAAAGTCACGGATCTTAAGGTTTTTCCACACAAGCCGATTTTGTTTAATTGATATTAACAAAAATAAGGATCCCCATTCCATTAACTTAAAATGGACAAAATAGAAATCAACAGCAAAGCTTGAAGAGGCAGCTTCCACAATTATATTAAAGTGTGGCCTCCCACATCCTCCCAATCGAAACTGGAGAAGCAGACAAGGACCTGGCAGGCAGGGAATTAGATACTCTGGCCGTAGGCGGGTCAAACTCACTCGGAAATGAAGGCCTTGGAGCCGACCAGTACGGATCCCACTGGGGCCGATAAGCCCTTGCTGAAGCAGATGGAGACGGAGTCAAAGTCGCGGCAGATGCGCTCCACGCCCACGCCCAAGGCCGCGGCCGCGTTGAAGACCCGCGCTCCGTCCATGTGGAGGGCGATACGGGCTGAGCCGGTGCCCACTCCCGGCTGTCGCACCAGGGCGGCCAGCTCGTCCAGGAAGGCCAGCGGCACCACCTTGCCGCCGCAGATGTTGTGGGTGTTCTCCACCACCACCAGCGAGGTGATGGGCTCGTGGCAGTCCTCGTGTCGGATCCTGCGGCGCAGCTCCTGGAGGCTGAAGGTGCCGTCCTGCTCGTTCTTCAGCGTGGCTAATTGGACGCCGGCCAAGTGCGAGGCGCCACCTAAACGTGATTAATGAAAACGCTCCGGAGTCAGTGGGCCGGAGTGCGTGTGCGGTTTGCTGTTCTCACCTTGCTCGTACAAAAAGATGTGCGATAAATCGCCGACCAGGGCCTCAGCTCCACGACGATGGCAGTGAACCATAACTGCGGGGGAATTATCAAGGGAAACGTTCGAGGTCAGTATCACTTTCAAGCTAATCTAAAATTTTCTAATCATATAAATTAGGTTAACGGAAGTTTAATTATTCCAAAAAAAATTTAACGAAATACCTCAAAAATGTCCCTATATACATCTTAAAGCTGGCTTAGATTTCAGCTTAGTTTCCGGAAACTTTTTTAGGTGAAAATCATTTAAACATTTTTATATCTCATAAAAACTTTACACCTGGTCTTCTTAATTGGTTTTTGATTTACTTTGAAGTGTACTTAAGCTTGTTAAGATAAGGGAATGTTTGTATCAGTAGCGACTGCCACAAAATCATAACTTATAATATCACCAAAACTTATGAGGTGTGCTCATTGTTATTTAACCTAATAAAAAAGAGGGATTTCTAAATATTTATAGATATTTTTTCCATAAAATTTCAATTTTAATGAAAGTCATTCGGACCAAGAAGTAATTTCATGAATTTCACCTTTAACTGAAGCAACCCTCGTGAAAAATTAGCACAATTGTAAGTCTAAGTAAAGTTTCTTTTTGAATGAAATGCAAACTTCGAGTTCCATTAGAAATATTAATTTGAGCGAATGCATAAATTACTCGAAATTGCGATGCCCGGAGCGACTGCTCCCTGGTCTTTCGTCCTTTATCCAAAAGCCTTCTGCTTTTCCGTTACCAGCTCGACTGTGGCACACGTCCACGTCTAATATTAAAGTCTATAAAAATTAATGTTATGTTTATGGGCGCCCTTAGCCTTTACGATAATGTACCTGATGCATGATATGAGCTCTGCTTTCTTGTTTTTCTTTCACCTTTTTCTTTTTTTTGTTGGCTCACCTTGCCTTTTGTAATCTGAGACGACTACTGGCCTCGGTTTAAACTAATAAACATAAGCGATTCTGCCCACTACCAGGGATGGGGAAGGGCAATGCCGAAAATGAGCCAGGGTTTATTTATGTGCTAGCTATGCTATGGTAGCCACTCACTTGCCAGTAGATTTCCCATGGTGCCGCTGGGCACAAAGAGACCCGCCTCTTTGCCGAAAAGGGCCGCTGTCCGCGCCTCCAGTTCCTTGACGGTTGGATCCTCGCCGTATACGTCATCCCCAACCACGGCGGAGGCCATCCGGTCCCGCATCTTGTCCGTGGGCTGGCTCACGGTGTCCGAGCGCAGGTCAACAATGGAGTGGGACATTTTCTGGAAGTTGATTAGCTCGGATATTTGCATAAGGTGGGCTATGTCGATTTTCCTTCTTTGTTGGCCAGTCCCCGATGGAATCGCAGATTCCGCTCATTTACGTTGAGACACGTCAGTTGCACTGCCTTAAATAATTGATACGGGCACTGGGCGATAGGCGGATTGGGACCTTACACCAAAACAGACAATCACTTCTCCGTCAGCCGCCGAATGCGGCCCGCTCGACATTGGAATGCGGCCCGCCCAGCGATTGCATAATCGTCATATTATTTATAACACTTGATCTCTCAGCCGAGCTCCTATATTCAATTATGTTTTTATAGTCTTAATTCGGTTTGCGAAAAAAATAAACTAAATGAAATAAGCAAACAACCATTCATCAACTCACTTGGGCACTTAATTGATAGATCACTCGACAACAAAAATCACACAACGTGCTCGGAGCAGAGCTATCAGAAAACTGACCCCAACAGCTGCTATGTGGCCGGCATTAGCTTGGGTTCTTTGTAGAGGGGCCTCCAGCAGTGCGAAATATCAGAGAGCACTGATATTACTGTTCCCAATTGGGCAGCGATTGACTGAATTAGCGGGAGAGCCAGAAATACTTACTCAATTCTCTTCGAGTACCGATAATACTCTTTATTTCTCCGTAAAACCGTAAAAGAAAGCTTTCAAAAACACACAATACAGGCATTTCTTTGGTACTTTTTTTTATTAATTACATCTGAAATTTTCACTAAAATTTTACTAATTCTAACACAATTTAGTTGTTGTCTCTGCATCTTTACATCTTGGCCAATTAATGCTCTCTATCTCAACCACATAAGGTACAATTGAAAAACGTTACAATAATAAAAACAAACATAACTTAGCTATATACTCAATAATAGTAATAATTTGTTTGTTAACAGTAGTTTCTTTCTCTTTTGTTTTGTTTCCCACATGGTGAAGTACATGATTCTCGCTGGAACTGATTGGACTAACTAATAAGACGATCCTTGAATCGGATAAAGCTACGCCTGATATCGATCATAAAGTTAGGTCAACTTACAAACTAAACTTGCAACAACTTTACTTGAGAATGAGGGCGGGAGGGGAGGGGTCAATTTGCATACGGGAAAAGTGTATGCACATAAAAGTCGTAAATATGTATGAAAAAACTATAAATAAATATTTAAAAAATAGTTTTTAATTTTTTAGTTTTCCTTTCAGTTATAGTTCCTCTTGTTTATGTTTTATAGTCTTTTGAACAAGTTTCCTTCTGGCGCACGCTGGCAAAATGTTGAGTTTTTGCCCTGTTTTCACTATCTCCTTCAGGTTGTTTGCACATTGTGTCTTTGTTTACTTTTGGCACCCACTGTAAGCGTACGATACTGCTCGGTGTGATTTGGGTGTGCGATTGGGTGGGAGGTACTCAATTTTCATTGCCAATCGATGCTTTTCCAGCTGCCCGACAAACAATCTAGGTGAAAGTATAAACATTAGAGTGAATTCAATTCCGCCCCTGGCTCTTGGCCTTCTTCTCTCATTTCTTTTTGGTATGTGCAGACAGAGCGATAGGGGTTCCTTCACATAGGACGTTGGTCTTTTTCAAAGACCGATTGCCACCAACATTAATGCTAATTATTTTGTTTTCAGTTTCAACACACAGGACACGCGACTAACAGCTAGGGGTTTAAGCTAATGCTCTAGGATGATTTGTGGGTTCCCTCTGGCCGCCTCCTCATCGCTATGAGGAGAGGTCCGTCTCGGATCCGTCCACATCGCCCGGCGGATTCCGTTTGATGCAGTCCCGTATGCTCTGCAGGATTATGCCGGTCCGCCGGTCCAGGGCCTCCAGGTGCGGCTGCCAGAGCACCGGACTGACGGGATCCAGGCTCAGCGACTCACTCATCAGCTGCGACAGCGGCTTGGGGCCATTGTGGAACCTGCAGGTGAATTAAAATGTTTCATTAGTCCACTGAAGCTTTGCAATTTAAGCCTAATCATCTACAAATTAAAAAAATAATCCTGCTAGTCATTATAATAAATCCTTTAAAATAATTGACGAGATTGTGGGCACTTCAAAAAGCAAATTGATGTTTGAATATCATCAAGTTATCAATCTTGTATTGTTCGGACCATGAAATAAGCAAATACAAACAAATCACAAAGGATTATAACATTATTACACTACAGAGCATTTAATAACTCAATGTTTGCATTTATCATTCTACTATTCAAGTACCATACAATAATCTAAACATCTTAAAGACCAAACTGCAGAGTCAAATAAGCACATAAAATCAGCTTAAAATAAATCAATATATGTTATTGAATAGTCAACTCTTCTTTCAAAAACTAATTCATCATCATATTTATATTTCTGATAGTATTAATTAAAGATTAATTAATTCAATGATTTCCTTAATCATAAGCACATAAATTTAGCATATTAAATATTCAAATTAAAAACAATATTGATTTACTGGCTGTTTATATGTTTGAAATGTAGTAAAGTAGCAGTTGTAATTCAATGATTTCCTTAAGCATTGTGATATTAAAATAGCATACGCTTGTGTAAGTACTGTAGAGACAATAAAGATGTGAGGTTATTTATTCTTTGAGGAATAAACTTCGTAATAGTCAATTTCCATTATAATAGCGAGTAGCAAAACTAGCCTGACTACGTAGATTAACTCTTGATTCAAGGCAATACTCACTCCAGCAGCTTGACGAGCGTCGACTTGCGCACCAGGCAGCACTGCAGCACGGGCGCCAGGATGGAGAGCTCGTCGTGAAAGGGCCGCCCAAAGCCACGGCCGTGGTCCAAATGCAGGGGGAACGTCTCATTGCCGTAGACCCTGCGAGTGCAAACAAGAGTCGATCCAAATTAGAGTGAATGCGGCAATCAGGCAGGCCCCAGCCCAAGTCTGCCTCGGCAGATTGGCGGCATAATTGCCTGGCATGGGAAGTCGACCTGGAAAAGACCAGGCTAGACCGGGCCAGGCCCACTATCAGGGCAGGTGTTAGCTGGGTGCCAGCGATGACAGGTCGTAAGCCCAACAAACGCTTTTGCATAACAAACAATTTAGCAGCAGGCCGGCATCGATGTGGGGTGACAGCGGCGGTGGCGGCTTACAAAGCTGAGATGTTTTGCAACCTTTTGCCGGCGTGGTTCGGAAATATCTTTCCAGCTGCTGCATCTGCCACATCGACGGCGGCTGGTTGGCTTGGCTGGCTGCTTGCCATGCAGGTGCTGGCATATCCCTGGCAAATGCAGGTGCTTAGGAGCACACGGGGCGCATACGTAACGCGCCAAAGGCAGACCAAGGAGACGCAGGCAGGAAGCCAACAAAGCCATGTGTGCGGAAATAAACCGATCGCATTAGTTACCCTGCCAAGGACATATAGACACTTACACCCACACACACACACACACACACACACACACACACACACACACACACACACACACACACACACACACACACACACACACACACGCTCGCACATCCGGCTTAACCCCTTAGGGCCCGTAGTCCTGCCTCGCCCCAATACTCACTTGAACGTCTCGTAATGATGACGATCCATGTTGCCAGTGAGAAAATCAAAGACGGCCATGTCCATGAGGTCGTACAGCCGCCTGCCGTCATCGTAGGGCGGAATATCCCGGACCTAAGTGGATATTTTGCAGAAGTGGGAAAGGGAGAGAGAGGGGGAAAAATCAAATGCAAAATTAAGCTGCAGCTCGGCCAGCAATGTCTTAATTAAGTCAGCTCTCCCTCTGCTACGACCACAATAAAAACATTTGCATTTCAATCGAGTTTAAATGCAAATTAAATAAAAGAAACCGCAGCACAAGGGGCCGGGGCTGGGCATCAGTTGGAGGATACATACCAGGGCACAGTAATTGGCATCTGTCTCCCATTGGGCCTTCTTCCTTTTGTGGTAGGAGCGTCGCCAGGGATGCCGCCACAGCTGTTGGGGTGAAAAGCAGAGAGGGAGGACCGGAAATCAATTCGGATTCTTGCAGGCAAACAACGAGCGGCCAACAGAAACAACCGAGGTATGCCTGTCTAAGCGGTGAAATTTACACTCTGAAATATGGTTTTCTTAACTTCGAGTTATGAGGAAAACGTAAGCAAAATGTTACCTTTTAAAATATTAGGCCCATCTATTTTCAAATTTATACAAAATTATCTTTCTAAACTATATACAAATTTTACTTTGTTTTAAAGGCAAAAAAGCTTTTAAAACCATGCCACTTTTTAAGCCAAACCACTCACAAATATTTTTATTTAAACTGGAGTTTTACATCTTACAAGAACTATGACTTAAGCACAGACAGGTCAAAAGGCTTAGATTAGCTTGCCCCTTATAATAAAATATTCTAATTTCCAATCTTAAGTGAGTGTAACCTTGACAAGTTTGTTCTTAAAACGAAAACAGGAGTTTTTCCTGAGTGTTATAATATCAGTTTTGCTTTATGGCAGCCCTCACTGTCTCTCTCGCGAATTCTTTTAACTGCAGGCTAAATTAATTTTGCTTAAATTAAATTATTTGCCCAGCGCTGGCCGAGGCAGGCAATAAAACTTTTGCGCAAGCCCCGCGTTTTCTTGCGGCCACCGCAACTTACCTTCCGTCCCTGAGTTGCGGGGTCAGGGGGTCAACAATAGCGACAACAACAAGAGGTACAACAACGGCGGCAACAGAAACAGGAACAAGAACAGGAACAGGAACGGCAAAACGGGAGCGGGAGTAGCAACAAAAAAAAATGTATATGAAATATATAAAAGAATTAAAAAACAGGGGAGCGGGCGCACAAAAATGCATAATAAAAGCTCGGCGCGTTGGGCGTTTTATGCTGAGTGGGCGTGGCGGCGGCGGCGGCGGAGTGTGTAATGACCGGAAGCGGGGGCCAAAAGGGGGTCTCTTCGCGGGGGGTCAACGGTACGGAGAATGCAGCAGGCGGTGCAAAGCAAGGCAAGGCAAACAGAAAGCGGAAAATGCAAACTGGGGGAAATGCAACAAACTACACAAAAACAAGAAAGAAAGCAAACTTCGGCAAGCCGAAGTTCATATACCCTTGCAGCTATCGCAAGATTAAATATTTTTGAAAACATTAAAATTATGATTTACTTGCGTATATGTTTAAAAACATTGAAGCTATGACGATTTGCAGCTTAATTATTTGATTGTTCTTTTATATATTTTTATTATTTGTATGGGAGCTATATGATATAGTCGTCCGATTTTGATGAAACTTAAACCATAATTCTGAAATATTTAACCATTGCTTTATGTCGAAGAACAAAACAAAAAATTAAAAAACAGCAAAGTTATAATTTTTTTCAATTATTTTTCCGATTGTTCCTATGGGAGCTATATGCTATAGTCGTCCGATTTTGATGAAATTTTAACCATAATTCTGAAATATTTAACCATTGCTTTATGTCGAAGAACAAAACAAAAAATTAAAAAACAGCAAAGTTATAATTTTTTTTCAATTATTTTTCCGATTGTTCCTATGGGAGCTATATGCTATAGTCGTCCGATTTTGATTAAATTTAAACCATAATTCTGAAATATTTAACCATTACTAAATGCCGAAGAACTAAACAAAAAATTAAAAAACAGCAAAGTTATAATTTTTTTTCAATTATTTTTCCGATTGTTCCTATGGGAGCTATATGCTATAGTCGTCCGATCCGGCTCGTTCCGACTTATATACTACCTGCAATAGAAAGACAACTTTTGGGAAAGTTTCATGCAGATAGCTTTAAAACTGAGAGACTAGTTTGCATATAAACGGACGGACAGACGGACAGACGGACAGACGGACAGACGGACAGACGGACGGACAGACGGACATGGCTAGATCGACTCTACTAGTGATGCTGATCAAGAATATATATACTTTATAGGGTCGGAAACGTCTCCTTCACTGCGTTGCAAACTTCTGACTGAAATTATAATACCCTCTGCAAGGGTATAAAAATGTGAAAGAAGCAAACATAAAGCAGAAAACTCAGGTAAGTTAACGCTGCCATGGTGACAGCGGTGGGGGGGTTCCCATAGCGCTCTTTAGCTCCCCAATTCACCTTAGCTTAGCCAGAAAAAAATGCATAAATCAAGCCAAATTAAATTTTATGAGAGCAGCGGGAAACGAAAAAGGGGCCAAAAAGATAGAATGTGAGGCAAGCAATTTGCAATTTTTGTTAGCTGCGCGTTAAATGCACTTGATAAATTCGTGGAACGCAATGGAAATGCTTTAAGATGAAAAGAACTTTATGAAAAGTGCTTCTGGAGTCACAGATTTTCTAAAAATTTTATATTCTTAATCGAAGCACTTAGTAATTAAAAAAATGATGATGGCATTAGTTATGTTGTTTCACAATATATATATTTTAGTCATTGGGATGGAATCTTTCTTAAAATTATTGTTTAAAGTAATTTTCTATGTACCAACTAAAGCTTAGATCAAACTGTTATTAAAATTTATTCTTATAGTATCTGTAACTATGCAGTGATATATTATTATTATATATGAAAAGTTTTTTGACCAATCTCCCCGATTTCTAGTAAATAATAATAAGCACAGTAAAATATGATTGAATTTCACCTTATCCTGGCCATTATATAACAAGTTGTTCATTTATAATGCTTATTCTTGGCTTCCCCTTCATTCGCTGCAATTCAGTTGCCCATAGAACCCTCTTAACTGAATTCCCAAAGCATTTAACAAACGTGCAAATCAAATTTGCAACTTAATTAAAATTCTGTTCAGTTACAAAAAAAATGTGCTCGTTGTTTACAACGCAAGGGAACCAAACTTGGCCAGGCCGGAAAAAGAATGTAACAAAAACCTGAACAGCAAAAAGAAAGGGTTAAGGGGAAAACGAAAATAAAGGAAAGGAAAGGAAAAGAAAAGAGAAGGGGCTGTGGAAAAGGAGAAAGAAAAATGATCTCTTGTGCATAATTTACAGTTTTGCCTTACGCCAAATCTCAAGTATACACTTAACCATTTTCTACTTGTAAACTGTTTGGAGAGCGAGCCGCCGCAAAAAAAGGGGGAAAATAAAGAGAATTATTCCTTTGAGGCTTCGGGGCAGGGATACTAAAAAAATATATATCTATGTACAAAATAGACTAAAAATAAAATGCCTCTGCTGCGGCGCAAATCTGAGGATGAGTTCGGATGAACCCTTTTTATAGCCGCAACTCGCCAACTGAGACAGTCGAGTCCTGAAGTGGACAGGACTGGGCTTTAATTTTTCGGTAATTTGCATTTAAAAGCTGTTGCCCTTGTCCCTTTTTTTCTGGTTTTTTGTTTTTTGGTTGATGAAGTGGACTCTAGAATTTATTAACGCCAACGACTGAGTCCTGGGTTCCTGCATTTTATATTCCATTTTACGCTTTACCAGTCGCTGAAGAACTGATACAATATTTCTGCTTTTAATTCAACAGCCAAACGAACTCGAATGAATGAATGAAAATGGGAGTGGGAACGAAGTGGCTCACTGGGGAGGTAAAAGGTAAACGAGTCCAGTGCACAAACAAAGGATAAAAGGCATGCGAACAACAAAAATTATGCAAATTAAAAGTGAGTTCTTTTGAGCCGGCGCTATTTAAAATTCTCTCTAAGCCTTAAGTGAGTTGTTCGGGGGTTCAACTGACCACCAACTGACCCACAGGAAACCTCATAGCTCACCTGTTGCGAAGCACAATACCACCCACACACACACACACACAGTGCTTACAGACTAAGTAAATAAAGTGATTTGTTATTTGGCCCAGGCGCACGAAATTGGTAATGAAAGCGAAGCGGGCGGAGCATAAATTGTAATCTGGCGCAGTGTTGAAGCTGGTCGTGCATTAATCAAAAACCACTTAGCCCGGCCCACAGACATGATCCCCATGCCCATCCCCATACCCATCCCACTGGCATGCGTGCTGGATGAAGTGTCAGCGTCGTAGGTTATGAAAATGGATGGGGATACATGGGGGCGGTGTTCAGATACATACCTTGCGATTGCCCGACTCAAAGTTGGGCAGAAAGGCGGCGAAGGAGCCCTCCAGCAAGTCCGGGTTGCCACAAATGGCATGCGAGGTGTCACAATAGTACGAGCACTTGCCATGGAAGCATAAATTCAGCGATGGCGAAACAAAGAACGTCTTCAATAAATTCTCCTCGGCCAGTTGATAAATTTCGGTCGTAATGTTCAGCGTACGGCCGGCCACGGGCATGGCACGCCGGAATCCCAGGATTCTGAAACCGGAGAGAGGTGCAGAAAAGCGGTTAACGAAATGCCAACAAAAAATTAAGGAAAAAAGCTACCGTCAAAGTAGCCGACTATGAGATTCCCAGTTACAAAGTATACACAAATATTTTCCAAATAAAAGTCCTATATGCCCCTATATTATCTTTACTTTAAAAGTAGATTATGAATCATATATATGCACTCAAAAATATAGCAATTCAAGTTACTTCTGGTTATTTAATTACTTTTACAATCTACCTCATTTCCCCTAGAAGTACCAGGTATGAAAAGAAACATCCTACGAAATAACAGCTCACCAAGGAAACTTTTCCCTAATGTTTTTTGTGGGAAGCTGTGGAGAAACACTGCGTGTGAAACAGAATGCGTAGGCAAGGACAAGCTAAAATATTTGTGGACTGTTGTCAGGGAAATGGGAGGGCATAATACAATAAGGAAAATAACTCCTTGTTTATTTAAGGAAACCCAATCGCACAACAATTGCGCTAATTGAGTGAAACCCGAGCTGTATTTTCATCAATCAAATTGCGTTGGTCGAGTACAAAAAATAGATTTCCCATCGAATCAATGAGTGAATGAAAATTTCAGCAATCTTTCCGTCAAGGCACGGCTAATCCCATTCGATCTGAAAGGGTTCACATGAGATTTATGGTCAAGGGTGTGTGGCGGCTGATCAAAAAATATTATCGAAATTATTTGGCAACATGTTCATTGTCTGGGGGTCGTCGGCAGCCCGAGGTCAGTGGGAAAATGCCGTAAATTTATATCGCCCACTCACTCCAGCCACTCCATCACACACTGCACTCCATTAGAGGGCTGACAGGCCGAATTGGCAGAAGTTTGCCAGCAGGGCAATCCTGCCAATCGACAGGAGAGTTGGTCAACCAACTCGAAAGGGGACGGCATGTGCGTGCTTTTGGCAGCCACAACAATTACACAAGTTATGACGCCTTATCTAAATTCAAAAATCCCCCCGGCAATTAACCTGGCCATCGGAGCTTTGTCAAAGGCAAGCAGCAGCAGCTGCTAACTATGCAGACAATTCCAGTCTAAATGACGGCAGGACATGTCAGGCTACTTGGCCGAGTTAATTAGCCATGAAAGGGCGCAGATAGCTGGCAGGGTTATATGGCCACATCATTTACATGAGCCAGCTTTTTGCCTCATGAAAAATATTCTTAAATATCATTTAATGGCACCCTTTGGCCTTGGCCTCCACCGAACGGGTGAATGTATGGACATTTTTTATTATATATGCCCCGACCATCATAAATAATGAACATAAATTGACTGCGGTCTGACCTCAGCCTGTGTTTGTGTGTGTCAGGATTATAGGGGATTCTAATCGCAGAGGGTCAGGCATCCAAAAGTGTTATAAATTTGAATGCCGAATGTAGGCCCGGGGACCGGTTCACATGGCCGACAAATTGGTTAATTTGATTGCTTTGTCATGCACTAAAAAAACGAATAATTTTCGATGGGCCATAAACGTGAAATGTGGCTGTGAAATATATTGAACACATCTCCCAGGAAATGTAACCATTATCGGGAAAAAAAATGCTTGATATTGGTAATCCAAATTCTAAATATTTATACCCTTTTCAAGGTGTTTTACTGAAGGTATTTAGGATAAACAAGGCTGGATATGGTTATAAAAAAACTTTTATTAAAGTGTTTTATTTTAAACAAATGCCTTTAAAAAACAATTAATCAATAAAGTTAACTTGACTTGCTATTCAACCTATTTTTAAGTTAAATTACACTTTTCCCTGCACTAAATTAACAAGGCTATGTAAGAACTTGTTTTACCATTGGTTTCTGATATAATGCCTATTTTGTTAATTTCCTTACAATAATAAGGGCATTACAGCTTAGCACTTCAACGCAGCTGTTTTCTTGTTCAAAATTAAATTTAGGTGATGTCCAGCCAGTCCAGAATGCAGTCTGGTTTGCCTAATTGAATATTTCAAATTGATTTTGCACAATATTTCCCTGATTTCCCCGCCTTTGTGCTGCGGTGGCCAATCCATTCGACGCTCACCATAAATATTTACGTATAATTGAAAATTAAATTAAAAATAAATAAGAGTATGCCAGACATTTGCACGATGCCGGGGCAAATTTAATTCAATCGAACGATATCGCATTGGAATTCTTATCCACTCGAATGCTCCTGGTGCGAATTCAGCAGCACGACATGGGATTGGAAGGGAAAGTTTTCACTCACCTGTCCAAATGGAAGGCGGCAATCTCGGCGTTGTGACGCTCGTAGTCCGTGAAGTAGAAATGGTTGGGCAGCGTTTGCTGGTCCCGCGGAAACCTGTGGAAATGCAAATGAGCGGGATCAGAGGTGCGGTGGCAACATAACGAAATGAATAGAAACTGCGGGCTTCTGTCACCAGCTTAATGCATTTGCGTGGGGCCACTTTGAATTTTCCCACGGTGAACAACCTGCATTGCTACGTGCCAGCTTAATTACTTACACGAAAGAGAGTGCTATTTAAAAAAAAATATACATACATACATATAGTAAAAAACACAAAAAAAAGGGCTTTCATTTAAATTGCAAATGAATGGCATTATAAGGACACTTTGCACTTTGGCAGTTGCGCCACTGTGGCAAAAGGGAGAATGGGAGACCAGCACGTTGAGTTGACCAAGCCAACGCGTTTAAATCTCATTAAAAAGTGCATGAATAATTTTTTTTTAAATTCACCAGCAGCTTCAAGTGCCACCGCAAAACGACGGCAATGGACGTGGAATTTTCATCGACAGGCCGCAGGAAAGTCAGCGAATAAAAAGCGCAATTTTATTTACTCGGCTGCGCGAAAAGTGTTGTCGACAAGTGGGCAAAAGTTGCATTCATTACGCACGCGGAAAATCGGAGACGGACGACGGGACAAATGCATTAAGCGGCGACAGACTGCGAAATCTTCGAAAACGTCCATCCGCTGGCCAAACTTACCGCATCGGCTTCATTAAGGCCTTGATATCATTCGGGTACTCGATGATCAATTTCAGCTGGGTGCCGCCCTCCTTTTGCACTGCGAACGACACGAAGGAACGAATGAATGAATGTAAATTAATCAAGCACTGGAAATTAATTGAAGCAAAAACGGAATTCAAGCAGTTCTCACTTCAGTGATCAGCTTTCGTCCGTAGTCGGCTTTTAAAATTCAACCAAACCAGACTGCAAAAACAAATTACACTCGACTAAATACCAATTAAAACGCATTCAAAAAACACACAAATATTGCGTATACGCACAATACCACACAAAGGAGCCAGAATTAAAACCCTTCTTGGCTTGTTTTCCATACAGTGTGTGAAGTGAACTGAATAGTTTGATCATTGCAGGCAGAGCTTTGCAGCCATGATTCCCACTGACCATAACAGGCAAAAACAAAATAACCAAACTACTGCCACACGCATACCGTACCGCATTTCATTAAAATTTATTCTAAAACAAACAAATGAAAATTGGCCAAGCCCTTTATTACTTATGAATTATGTCTGAAAGTTGCTCTAAAACCAAAGTCCTGCGTGTTTTGGTCTGTTTGCAGAAATTGCCTTTGTACGCGGCGTATACGTGATAAATGCCAGCGTCACAATGCTAAAGTTGCAGCAATTATGCTGCCACAGTGTCATTGTTGCCCGCGTCCCCTTTTCAACCCCGCCGTCTCTCTCGGTTTTCCCTTAACTGCAAATGAGTTTTCTTTTCGCAGCTCCGAGCTGCCGCTGTTAAAAGTTTATTATTAATAAATTATGGGTTTAATGAATGCGCTGGAAAAAGTTTGCTATGAAAATAGTTTTGCAACGGCACCTCAATAATACCAGCCGCCAAGCTCCACATAATTGAGTTAAATGTGCAGCTGAGTCCGCCCTTCCCTGCGGATGCCCTCTAGTTCGGGCCAACAAACTTGGCCAGTATTTATGACTTTACAAGCCCACAAGCCCACAATCCCACAATTCCACAATTGCACAACGGCATGGCGGAAGCAGACTGTCTTACCAACATGCTGTATTGGCAGCTTGATCATGTCACGTAGCACCGCATCCACCAGAGTGTCCTGTTCACCGTACAGCTCCTTCTTCGTGATGCGCAATTGGAAGCGCTCCAAATTGCTGGCATTTGCACTGCAAAGAGATGGAGGAGTTCGGGTTCAGATGGAGTCGGCCAAAAGGGAAACAAAATGATAGAAATGTAAGTAAAAATCGAGCATCGCAGCCAAGAGCCAGCTGTCGTTTGCAGGCAAAGGAAGCCATAAGGACAATCAGCCTGAAGACCTACACTTGGAAATATATATATTTTTTCTTAACTTTAGAACCAGGAATGTTGAAACCTTTCTTCATATTAACTTTAAACTCAATTTTTTTAAGGACAAACAGCCTGAAGCCCTACACTTGGATATATATGTTTGTCCTAGCTATATTAAAAATAAAGTAAAAGCCGCATAGATATTAACTTTTTTAATTTTTACAACATTTTCTCCTCCCTGAAGCTGTATACTTACTTTAATCAAACACTTTAATTAAAACTGATACAAGTAAAAGTGTCTCATTATATAAATACAAATTTTTCAGCTTTAAAAACAGTTAAGTCAAGTATTGAAAGTATTATTTATGTAAGATAAAGTCCCCTAGACAGTTTTTTATTTAAGTTTACTGTAGATACAAATCGAAATCCAACTATTTGTGACATTAAAACGATTCTAGATGCTGAGTGTAGGTGGTCCTTTGGGCTCCCTCATAAGTATGCCATGCTTTGAGGCTGCATATCAAGATTTCTCACATTGATTTGTCAAAGCAATGCCCTACTCCTCTGGCTTTCTTTCTTTGCCGCTGTCATGACAATTTGGCTTGCAAATGCCAAGACCCCCCCACACATCAGCCGTAATCTTTGGTGGTCGATTTTTCCTGTTGCTGCCAGACTGGCAATTGTCGGAAAATATCTTTTCCTCTCCGATTATGCTTTGCACTTATCCTCCTCGTATTCCTCTTTTGACATATGCCGCTCACATGGCCAATGCTTTTGTCTTAAGCTCTTGCAGTTACGCTTTCAGATTTTGTCCAATTTGTGCTGGTTAAGCACTGAGAGCCCTTTCAGAATTTCAGCTTCAAAGTGCTCTTCTGTGGCATTAGCCTTCCCTTTGCAATGCACAACAATTTATGCCAGCAGTCGGGACAAATTGAAATGCAAAACTCCGAGTGCTGCTCGGTGGGTCAGTCAAAAGTGAGGTACGAGCTGCCTTGTCTGATCCATTGTGCAGCAAGTTTATCACGATAATGAAGTCATATCCGTTGCTCCCCTTGACTGCTCTCAATGGCGTCCACATAACTCATTGTCCCCGTACTTCCACCATTTCCACCCACCACCCACTGCCTTCCTGCACAGTCATAATTTGCCCGCTGACTTCTGCCATACTTCAACGCCTAACCCTTTTTATGCCGGCTGCGTCTTTGCCGTTGGCCTTTGTGCGCAGGAAGGAAACAAATGTCTGGCAGACAACCTTCTCGTGCCCCAAATGACTTTCAATATATCAGCGTTGTATGGAAATGGTGACAACTTCCCGACGGCCCCAGAGCTCAATCCCCTCTTTTACCTGGCCGTATAAGAGTGGCCATGCAATCCGGTGACAATGACCAGGATCTGGGGGCCAAACAAGGGCCAGCTGAAATGACGAACCCTCGTCATCAGGTTCAAGTTCAGGGAAAAGAGCTACATCAGAAATCCAAAGCGAAAAGTTTAAGTCTCGAGGATTAAAGTCGATCCAAGGTTTTGCAAAATTTAGTGTAAGTGCTTTTAGAAACCCAATTGTCCCTGTCACCTGTTTTAAAACGGGTTTTGAAAAAAGTTAAATATCTAAAAAAAATTATTAGAGTTAATTTTAAGCAAATATTTAACATTTTTAACTTTTGACAAATGATACTGAACATGATTTTTAAAACTACTTTTATTTAAAAATACCAATTTTTTTGTAAAGTTTTCAGGTTGCTTTGTAGTAAATTAATGAAATTAAAAATTCTACAATTTTTGGTACAATTAAATTGATTTTGGCCACTGTGAATTTTTTTGTGAACAATTCGTTTGACACTTAATAGTTTCGTTTCTTTTGGCAGTGTGCCGAAAAGTATGCTACGCAGCGTAGTAGCTTGGCACAGTCAAATTTCAGCTCATGCTTCATTTGTCAATTGTGGTGGAGAGCGGCCGAGTGGCCATGTGGCCAGCGGCTACTGGAGCAGGAGCTGCGTAATTGATGAAGCCGCCGGATCCGGACACTGACTAAGCACTGGCCGCCTGCCACAGAATGGGCATGTGTTCTGCGAGTCTGCGGGTTTGGTCTTGAAGGACCAGCTGTTGCACTTTTTGGGGCCTGGGACTAAAACAATGCAAAAGCAGCAGCAGCAGCCGAACCGAATTCAAATCCCTCTTGTAATTGAGTCACGTAAATCAGTTGCAGCGGCCGGCAGTCAACATAACCCAAAATCGCATTACAAAAGAAAGTGAATGTGGTCTACGGAAAGGGGATTTTGGGAAAAAGGTCTAAGGGGGGATGGGGTAGACTCAAAATGAGGGGAATGCACGCCAAAAGCGCACGTGACATTTGGCTGACAACCGCAGTGACAGCCAGCCACCAGCCACCACCCAACGTCCTTCAGCCCACTCCACAAAAACACTACCAAGCCACCCCCCTTTTACCCCCTCCATCACTGGTCTAAGCCCGCGCAAAACTTTGTTATGCAAAGCGTTGACAGCTCGACGACGATGACAACAACGTACCGCAGCGCAAAAACAGAAACGTTGCGATGGAAAAAAAAAAATAATTGAAAAAGAAATTTTCATATAATTGGTGGTACACCCCGCGCCTTCAAACTGTCCGCTCGGCAGTTGCACGTTCCTGACGGTTACTTGCGTCAAAAGTTTACTTTGAGTTATGTTTAGCGGAAATTAAATTTATTTATGTCAGCGGCGGGACGACGGACGAAAGCTCCTCTGAATGACGTTCACTAATCAGCTTAATTGCGCTCGGTTTGATGATTTGACAGGGCAGGCGGAATATAGAATACAGAATATAGAATACAGAATCCAGAGTCCCTGGTCCTTGGTCCTGCAGCACGAGTCCTGCTAGAACACGCTGTCATGGCAATGGCCACGAATAAACTTTGCTTACAGCTGAATTATTTTGCGAAATTCAGCCAAAGATAAACGTGGGAAGCAGCGAAAAGATACTATAAGCCAGGTTTTTGTTTACCGTAATCTACATTATATTATGGAGTGTACACTATTGAAGGATGCGGGCTCTCAAAATTATGTAATAATTGGCTTTTATATTATATATTCCGCTAGTGATTTAATAAGAATGTTTGAATTGAATTGAAATGCTAAACATGACCTACAGTTGCCTGTCAATCACTTTTTAGCTTACTATTCAAATTGTGAGAACATGTAATGATAGAATCGGACTATAGATTTTAACTTATTCGCTTTCGATGCACTCACAACTAATTAATGAAATATTAAATTTCATTTGCCACACAATTGGAGCTCACCCCATGGAAATCTGGCGGTTGAGTGAAACTTTTTACCCTGGATTATGAGTGGCCCAGAGAGACTAAGACTAACTGGCTTTCACTTGTTGTGCCCGCTGCCATTGTTAGTGCTGTTATCCCCGGTGTTTTACCGCCGTTCGAAGTGGCCACTATAATAACAGCTGTCAGTCGGCATGTCCTGGCCTTTGCTTAAGCCCCGCTGCCATCCACCCACTCGCAGCCCGCAATTATTTCGCCATAAGAAAATGTCAGTAAAGTTTCGCCAGCGCAGTTTTCCCACATTTCCCGCTTTTATCCCGTTTTCCACGAGCAGCTGCGTCCTGGCCGCGGCCACAGAGCCGCAAAAGTGCTGCTTAGATGGAGCGGCGGAAAAGTTTGTGCGTGTGAAATTTTGCGGCCGCCAAGACCAGCGAGGAGCCAGAGCCATGCCATCCAAATGGACGGACCCGGGACTGCAGTGCGGACACTTTTCAGCCAAGTTCGCACAAGAATGGGCATAAGAAGCAAAACAAGACGACGACGGCGGGGCGGGGCGGCGCGGCAGGCAAAAAGGAAAGTGAAATTAAACTTATGTTGTAGCCGGGGATAAAACTTCAGCGGCAAGAGCGCGCGAACATTAAAACCAATGACAGCAGACCAACTGCAGCTGGGATCCGAGGAAAGAGCTGGGGCAAAGCTGATGGGGCGGAGTCGGAAAACTTCCACTTCACCATCGCCGAAATGTCAGCAAGCTTTCTGAGTTTTACACACTCGTCGACATTGAGCACAGTCTTTTATTACCCAACCTTCGCAGGATTCGCAGGATCCGCAGGATACCCATCCTGACCGACAGCTGGTAAAACTTCTGGTGTTTCTCCCTCTCAACCGGGTGTAATTCGCTCGAAATAAGATTTCTGTCGCCGCCCGACGCGGTCGCAATTGCAGGCTAATTAAAAATTTGTCATACTAATTAAACGCAAGCGGGCGCGAATAGGACTCTGTCACGACCCCAGGACTTGGGCTGAATCAGCAGCAACTTTGGCGTAATTATATACCCGGCTTATGCCGGACAGGCCTTCGTAGTCCGCAGTTCCGTGTACCATGCACCTGACAACTCTTCAGCAGCCGCTGGTAATAACTCATCTAGTAATTTTAGGCGCATTTGCATTTTGTCACATTTTTTTCTTTTCACCCTGCACTGGCTGCATTCTTTGCCGCGTTGTTTTACCTCAGCTTTCGGACAAAAAGTGCTGACTAAGCCGGAGTGATGTTGGCCGGGAGATAAGGGAGCATGTCGAGCATATAGGGAGCTCGGCGACAGAATTTTAATGAGATATCGCCGGAAACGAGCGACAGCAGACAGCTGGAGTGGAATCAGGACGAGATGGAGTCCCAGCATCTGGGCTCGTGTTTCAGCTAGCACAGATCTTTCAATCTCTTTAGGTGGATTACTTGTAAAAGGATGAAAAGAATGTACACTGCAATTTGTACTAATAAGCACCAGGACCGTGAGATGGAATAAAAAAAGCTTAACGAACAAATAAAATTTTAATTTTAGGGAATGATTTGTTTTGTATTACTATGAAAAAACTTAAGCTACATAAAAATACAAAATGGTGTGATAAAAGCTAAGAAAAGGTAACAAGATTGTAAGAATATTTCATGAAATGTATAAGCTTAAATGTAATACATCAGACGTCCGATATTTTCAGTTAATTTTAAGTACTTAAAAATTGTTAGGTGATGCAAAAACTAATTTTATAAAGCCAAAATTTAGAGTACTTAAGAACTTTGTTATGTTATGCAGTAATCCAATCTATAAAATTTGCACTTTGCCAGCGAGAGCATCCCAACTTCTTGTGGCAGCTAACCAGGTAAACCTACTGGCAACTTTTTTACCCTGCACATTTACTGGCAACAATTTCGCTTGTTAATGAAATTTGCATTTTGCTACGTGCGACACACCAAAAAAAAGTAGCAAACTTTCTGGCTTGCTTTTCGGTGATGTGCTATAAATTAGAAAATCAAGCATTTTATGCTAATGCCGACGCCCACACTTAGCCGACTCAGACAAAACCCACCCACTGCTACCGAAACAACAACAAAAACATGAGTTTGACAAGTTTTTGCCACTTTGCATTTTGACCATTTTCGATTTTCTTTACTTTCCCGCTTTTACCTCTGGCCCAAATTTTTGTGCAACTTCAGCTGGGGCAATGTTCGGCAACTATTAAAGCATATGAAATTACTCATACGCTACCTATTCAGTTTTGATATAAACTGCCAAAACGACTCGGCAAGCGCATTGTAAAAGCAAAGGAAAATCGTCAAAAAATAAACGTGCGGAAGATGGAGAAAACTAAGCTGATTACCGAGCAAGAAAATCAAATGAAAACTCTGCGAAATAAATTTCATTGCTGCCTCAAGTGTTCGGGAGGAAAACCCGAAGAGGAAAAGGAAGAGATTTCGCAGATAAGCGAGGGGCGGTGTGGCAAATCCACATTGATTTCTTTATTGCACTTTTATTTGATTGTGCTCGCATGAAATTACGCATACGCCATGTGGAGACAAAGCAAACTCTCATCAACGTTATCGGTGTTCGGCATCCGGAAGGAACAGAACAGAATCGTTGCCACCGGCAACAACAATCAGGCAACACTTATCAGCGACAAATAGACACATGCCGTAAAAATGTGGGCATAGAGGAATTTCTATGGGCTTACAGTCAGAGAAAATATTTTGTAGTCCCAAACAAATTATACTTTATTCAATAAATATATTAATTGTTGAGCTTTCTGTTTTAGAAATACTATATTAAGTTTTTTTTTTATTTTTTTGTATTGCTTTGAAATGCTTTTCAGAAATATTTTGTCATTTTGATCATAAAAGTAATACAAAATTTACAAAGAAAAATAATATTTTATATTTATACTTTTGATTTTTTTTGACTGCACAGGCTAAATGTCTAAAACGTAAATGTGTCACGTAAATGGAGCGTAAATTTCAATAAAAATCATTTCAATTCCGTAGAAGCCCGAAAAGTGCCGTAACTGCTGGCCGCCCTGCTCTACCCTCCCCTTTTAACTATCGTTTCCTTTATGGAATCGCAAAGGGCCTTCCCCTGCCACTATCAATTACCACGTACCCGGGCAAAGTGGCTCGGGGCCCGGATAAAAAACTGTAAGCATTATGTCCTTCCGCTTAGGGGAAATTGAATTTTTTCGCTACCGGTTTGTATGTGCCACTCACCTGGCCTTGCGATGCAGCATCTCAGCCAGCGTGGGATTGTCCCTGGCCACATCCGGCGCATTGTCCACAATCACATGCGAGTACTCGTCGCTGAGCAGGTGCCTCTGCAGATCCGCATAGCGATCGTGTGGGATGGGTTTCCGCGTGGATATGTTGCCCGACGTCCCAGGACCTGCTGCTCCTCCCGAGGCTCCGGCAGCCGCGTCCTGGCCACTGGCCGCCCCACCGCTTTGACTCGCCGCTGCCTGCGTGGAGGCCTCCTTGGAGCCCGAGGAGTTGCTGGAATAAAAGCAAAAGTTACCGAGAGTAACTGTGTTAAAAGGAGCTGCATAAAAGAATATTAAAAGTAAAATGAAAAAAAAATGGCCATAATTAGCGGAGACCCAAAAGCCGGGTGCACTTGACATTGGTCTGGGTGGCTCTCGTTGCTAATTGCAACTGCCAAGTGCCCCAGTGGCTTTTAGTGGCAGCCATCGAGCTGAACTGAAGATGTCGAGCCGGCTAAGTGCCCCCTGGCCAGGCTCCCAAAGACACGCACCTGCAGGTAAGCTACTGAAACTTTGTCAGCCCGAGTTTTAGTTGCGTTTATCTAAGACAAGGTCGACCTCCCATCCTCGATTCACCCAACCCGAAAGCCTTAACACACGTGGGACTCTTCACTTGACTGCAATGTACTTAAATTGCGGACCCAGCCACATTCCACATAAGACTGCACAGTGACAGCAAAGCCTATTTATCAAACTGTAATATTTACACTGCCCTGGTAAATATTACACATTTCTTTTAACTCACTTCTTTTGATCAGATGTTTTTTAATTTAAATTTAAATTGCAATGATTAACTATTTTATTAATCAATTCAGTTTAGTTAAGTTAAATCAATTAAGTTAAAATACAGGCCATTTATTTTTGGGTAAAATTTGAATAGGTCTATATCTATCAACCTAGCGAAATTGGTTAAAATCTAACAATTTTGTCAGAAGTTATTATGAAATTAAGATAAACGTTTATATTTTGCACAACAGATATACGCTTTCGACTTTATGCTTTGCAGTGAGCATAAATTTGTTGGCGTCATCGGGCGGAGGAATATTTATTATAGAGTATAGAATACCCGTATCTAAAAGTCGAAGCACTCGTCATTATTCTTTATTTTATATTGCATTTATTTCTTTGGCTAAGCAATTTTCAAACTAAACTGCAGAAATTTCTTCGTCTACCGTAATTATATTTTATCCTCATACTTTGCACGCAGATCACACTGTCCTTGTGTGCTGGTATTCAGCAGCATTTTAGACAGCGTCTGCTTCAGACAAAAAGAGTGCTCGAAAAATGAATTAAAGTTTTTGAATTTGTTGCATCCATTTTGCTAGCCTTGACTCTCCACAGCGCTTAGCGAAATGCTTGAGATATAGTATATGGAATAACCACCAGATCCCCAACCTAGCTCGTTAGCATATGTCCCGGGAAACGGGAGTGGGAAACGGAAACCCAGAATTATGTGGCAGTTGTGTGGCCATTAAGCCGAATGACACTACCGGCTGCCAACGAGCACTCGTGTTTGCTGGCTGCACGGAGCTCACATCATTAGGCCATAATCTCAAAATTTGACATTTTCGCAAATTGTCGTTCTGTAGAAATTTTTTAATTGTGGCCCAAGAAAGAAAGAAAGTCCTGTTGTCGCCGTGTCTTATCCATCAGCCAGAGAGACAGATAGACAGCAAGCCAGGTGTGTATGTGCACATGTGTCAGGAGAATGCAAAACTTTTTCAATTAACAGTTGCCAGCCAACGTCTGGGGCCAAGACGGCAGATAGGAAAACGCAGGCAAGAGTGTGCAAAATTGCAAAATGGCAACAGCAAGCCGAGAAGCTGTCAACATATTCTTGGGCATGAGAATGAGACAATATCTGGGAGCCAAAGCGGCTTTCACCTGCCGCCTGGAGGACTTATTAAGAATTTTCCGCCGTAACGAGCCAGGTCGGATTTCGCGCGTTTTATTGGCAGCCGCATAATGCCACTTTATGTGCTAATAAGTATTTAAATCCCGCCATCCTATTTTGCACCCACTTGCAGGATGGGTCCTCACGCTTTGTTTCGTTTATTTATGGTGCTCGTTCCAAATTGATTCTGCCACAGAAAATATGGTCCCGCTACTAACGCTTTGTTCTCGCTGCCGTTCCGACTGCACTGATCGATGTGGCGTGCACTTAATTACACTTTCGCGAAACTTTGCTCATTAAAGTGTCACGTGGTGTGCGTAACGCTGCCCACATAAGCTCCCATGTGCTGCGGTTAATTAACCAGTCAAATGCAACTGTAATGACAATAGACGGGCCGGCGCACAGAGTGGCGACCACAGGATCATAGGTGAAAGTTTATGCAAGTCGAAAGCGATGTCGCTGCCAGGGGTTACGGGATGGATTTCACGAACTGCTAATTGGATTTTAGGGGGGCATTTCGATTTAATAGCACATACAAACATGTCAAGATCGTCGAACGTGCTACAAACTGGTTAGCATCTCCTTTTTCTGTTATATGCCTACTAATTATGCAACAGAAATTCGCCTTTGCCAATTTAAAACATACTTTGGCCGAATTTTTACTGTAATGTAATGATTAATTAGTTAAATTATAAGTAAAATACTGATACAATTTAAAAAAGTTTAAGTTCATTTAAGACCATTAAAAATCAAAAACAAAAAAAGATAGAAAAAAGGTGATAAAATAATGATTGGTACAAGCCCATTGAATATCTAAATTTTAAAACAATCTCGATATAAAAAATAAACAATTTAAATTTGTAAGCACATAAATAAGAAATTTATTTATAGTTCCAAAGATAAATCAAACCAAACAAACAAAATGATCCCACATATTTTTTAAAAATTTATTATTATCTGAATTTAAAACAATTTGTAACTTTAAAATTCTGAAACAAACATTTTATTATGATCCTAAAGATTGGATTTAAAACAAGGTCTTTAAAGGTATTTCCCCAAATATCTGGTTAACTGCAATCATTTTAATTAAAGGGTTAAGAAACTCTCCGAAAACAAAAACGAAAAACAAGAGATTGATAACAACCCAAAAATGAGAATCATCTCTGAAAATGAGTTTTCCCTCAGCTGCTTTGGACGGCGGCGAACACCATTTGCAGCATTGCCAAGTTGCTGCCTCAGTTTTCAGTTTTTAATGAAATAATTAAAAAATTATAAAGCAAGCAGGCGGGATGGAGGGGACAAGACACGAAATCAGGGGGATCCGGGGTGTCCGGGGTGTCTGAGGATGGAGACGGGCAAACATTTGATGCTTAAATAGAATTTATTACGCTTCACAGACGCGCTGCACGACTCAGTGCATGGAGGCATCATAATTTTGCATTTGCCATGGCGCATAAGTAGATAGCAGGGAGTTTGTTATGGAGAAGCGATGGCGATGTGAGCTCTCTGGTACCGAAACGGGAAGAGGTATCCCTCAGACGCAGCCAATTCGAAGGAGCGCTTTCAGAAGGCATTCATTTTACGGGCTGGTGGCAGGCGGCTTATGAACTAATTAAATATTTACTGGCTAAACATTGGCGTTTTATGTTGCCGGAACGCGAGCGAGAATGGGAACAGGAACGGAACCGAACCAGCCAGGATCGGGATCGGGATGCGATGGTACCGGGAGTCGTTTGCTGCACCTGAAGGCGGAGGTCTTGGGACCTGGAAGGATGGTCTTAACAGTTTCCCTTGCGTCTTGCTGCGTCATTTTGATGTTTTATTACTCGACTTCCGCCAGCCGCAGCAAAATGGCGGCGATTTCACTCACCCACATTCTGCACCCACTTTTGCCCACCGCACGCAACACAAAATGTGGCAAACAAAAAATGAAGTGTTCAAAGGTAAACGTAAACCGACTCGGACCCCTTGCGTCTGTATATATTCTCTATAGCACGGCATTAACATGGCTCCTTGTACTCCTTGTTCCTTATTCCCTGTTTCGGTTCCCGTTTCTGTCCCTCTTCCTTGTAGTTCCCAAGAAGTTCGCCCTGGCCTGCGTTTATGTTTTGTAGCAAATTACGTTTTAATGCCGGGGCCAACCAAGTTTTATTGCAACTTTTGTTGCATTTCAGTTAAATTGAATTATGTACCCTGCCGTGTTCAGTCGCCTCGGGGTTTCTTTGGGTTGTTTGCCGGAGTCAATGGCCCGACCCCGTTTGCGATTTGTGCATAATTTTTAATCCCCCGGAATGGCCAGCGGTAGCCGTAGCCTGGTTCCTTGGGTCAGACTTGGGAGTTGTAAAATTCAACACGCTGCTTTGGCTCCGTGGGGGTTCAGAGCGAAACGGAAAGAAATGTTTTCAGATACCTTCAGGTTTGACTACACGCTTTATGGTTTTCCGGAATTCGACAAGTTTACTTTTTGACTTAATATTAATTTTAATACGTCATTTCAGTTTTTGTTGTATTTTAGGCGATTTAATATTTAATCTGCTTCACTATCAGAATTGCATTACAAAATCAGAATTTTTAAAAAGGCCCTTATCTCAAAGATTGACGATTATTCTTTTTTGAAATCTTTAATTCGTCGAGATTTTTTGACTGTAAGCATTTTAATTTATGCCTTACCTACCATTTCCAATATATTAATTATATATATATTAATGATATTATAAATATTATATTATCGAACGATATATATTTGTTTTCCTGTTACATAAGAATTTGTATTATATCGATACTAATCTTCATAAGTTAAGCTGTCGTGTTTTAAGCTAACTGATTAAAGTTCAAGGCACCTTTTGCTCTCACTAATGCATCGTTAAAGTAATGAGGGTCAGTAATCGCAATAATACTCGCTCCAACGTGCTCATTTCAAACCGAATCCCAGTTGCAAGGTTCTTCGCTGATTAATGGCGAGTACCGAGCAATAGATGGTTCAGATTTTAACGTGTAATGGCACCGGAAAGTGAACTCACCTCTTCTGCAGGAATTTGCGCTTGAACTCGTGCAGCATTCCACCGCCGCCGCCGCCCCCCGCCGCCCGTGGCATCGTAGTCGTTGCCGAGGCGGATCTTGTGGTGCTGCTGCTGCAGCAGATGGCGATTGGCCACCCCAAAGTCCATTTGCACATCGACGATGAGCAGGAGGGTCAGCAGGACGAGGGTGGCGCCCAGACTGATGACCAGCCGCTCCTTTAGTTTCATAGTACGCAGGACGGCCATGATTGGGTTTGTGTTGCAACTGGAGTTGCCGTTGCCACCAGTACTTGCTAGTTGATTGCCGTGTTGCGATGTTGCCGATGCGACACCAGCCTGATTTTTCCTATTGCTCGACCCGAAGCTGCGCAGCCTGGTCAGCCAGCCAAGATTCCTTTCCCCGTTGCCGTTTCGTCCAGGACTTGGGCCTTCGATGGCCTTGGCCACCGCCGCAGTTTGCTGCGGAGTGGTGCGGGTGGTGCGCACTATGCGCCGCCTGATCACAACGCGGCGTCGTGGACCAGTCTCCTCTTCCTCCGGTTCCGAGTCTGGATATAGCACTCGATCCGGCGGCAGCTCCTCCTGCTCCGCTGATGGCTCAGCTTCAACTGGCCCAGTCTCAGTCCCAGTCCCGCCAACTGGCCTCTCGAAATTCCCTCTTTGCCAATTGGCTACGCCTATTTGTTCAGCTGATAAATGATCGGCGAAGGGTTCGATACCAAAGCTCGGCTGTTGCTGTTGCTGCGGCTGCAGTTGCAATTGCTGGCGGTATCGGAATCGCTGCAGGCGCTCTGCCAGCGGCGTCGACTGAAAGGCCGCCGGTCGATATCTGAAAATAAAAAAAAAAATTGTGGAAAATTTCATTAAAAAACCAATACAAACTCAAGGCTGGAGGTTAGTAATGGGCAATCAAAATTCAATAAAGTTTTCATGACTTGAAGGGTCGGAAAATGAATAAAAAGAGGTCGCAAAACAAATCCCACTTAATCCTTTCCTTAATCAAAACTAAAAAGAACACATACACTTCCAGCTTTGTGAAATATATTTACAATTTTACAAAGAACATTGAAATAAAAAACAGACAAAATATAGAAAAAAAAAATTTAATTAAATTTATAATAAAAAATATTATTAAAGTTTTAGTAAGTCGAATGTATTTCTCAGAGTTTTGACTAATATTTACATTTTTAAATCAACACAATATTGTGTGAGCAAGGTAGAAAGTCATAATGGAAAATGAAAAATATATAAAAACCTGTTCGAAAAAGTTAAGCTTCATAAAATTTTAATTATCAACTTATTAAAGTTTATTTTCACACTGCCATTTTCCTATGATATCATGAAATGATTTTTCACTATTTATATATTTGTTTTATATATTTTTTCAATACATAAACTGGTATTGTTCAAGGTCCCAGTCATGTTTATATTATTATTGTTTGTGATAGGCTATTTGTGTTTATTTTTCGATTGGCTGATTCTCCTCGCTCGCTCTACATTTCGCATTTCTGTGGACCTGCCCTAACCATAACGAGCTTTAAAATATGAACCTTTGGCCATTTTGTAGTTCCTATTTTGTGTCTGGTTATTCATAAAGCGGCGTCGGCAGCGGCGTCACGGCATCCGCCATGTTGACTGGCACCGGAAATGCGACAGCAGCCATTTTTTTTTAGGTTTTGTTTCACTGGCCACTGTTATCGCTGTTCTAGAGTGTTGTTGCTATTGCTGTTTTTTCTGGTGCCATCAAGTTGCCTGTTGTAGTTCTATTTTATTGTCTCCATTTTTATTGTTCATGTTTTTGCTGGCCCACGTAGCATGAAGCATATTTTGCAGGCAGCTAGTTCGTAGCCAGTTTGAGTCGGAATTTGAATTCTAACTGCAACAGGAAGGGCTGGTTGGTGCCAGGATCTCGAACAGAACCTGCAAAGTGGCCGTTGTCTGTTTGGACGGGTGGCAAGTTAACGAAGCTTGTTGCTGCCGCCTGCTGCCCACATGCAAAGTCAACACGGGCGGGCCGCTCGACGACCGAATATTGTGGGCAAAATGTTGAATTGCCCCGGGCAACGAATGCCGTAACTGCATTAAATGTGACCAAAATATACTAGCTTGCATTCACACTCCGAAAAAAAAATAGAATTAAGACAAAAATTTAATTAATATTTATGTCCAGAAATGATCAGGTGTAGATGTTTATTTATTAACAATAATATATTTGTTAAAAAATAAAAGGGAAGTCCCAAAACATAGTATGTATAATAAAGCACACATATTAACAACGCTTACCATTTCAACATGAAAAAATTATTTCAAACAAAGTTTTTTTTTTACAAAAAATCCCAATTTAAGTTTCCCTTCAAAATAAATCATTTTAATAAATGGTTAAAATTTTGTCAAGTGCAATTTGGTATAGGCTGCAAATTGAATGCAATCCCCTTTGATCGACAGGCCTTCAGATATGTTGCTGACGTAACTTGACTCAAAAATTAAACGTCAAATTCGTAGTCAAAAATGCTGATTACAAGCGTAGATGATGGGAATAAAATGACAGGAACGGCACACTAAATTGGCAAACAAAGTTCGGCCGAAAAGGCCTGAGAAGCAGTTCGACGTCAATCAAATCACATATCATGCCAATTTTCTATGCAGACCTACGCTTTTGCAGGATGAAATCCTTGGCAATTGCTCATATCCATGACGAGATGATTTGACAGTCGCAGAGTGGTCGTGGGCTTCCGTCTGGGCGAGGGCGTGGGCGAGGGCGTGGGCGTGGGCGAGGGCGTGGGCGTGGGCGTTACCAAGGGGTTAAGGCCAGACAAAGTGGGCGAAAAGTGGGTGTTGGGTACGTGTACAGTACTTGTACAAGCAACTCGACTGAAGAGACCTCCGCCTGGCAACACAATGGCATCTATCGCCGTCATCAGCGCTTGCAACATCAATGGGCAGTCAAATGCAAAGCACATACGTAATCCAGCCAGGCGGGAAAAGTGTGGGGTGGTGTTGTGAAAAGCGTCATCCACACGAGTTTTCCCTATCACCCGGTGAGGGCGATAAGGGCTATGCCAGTGACATGGCAAGTGAGATGGGAGATGGCAAAGTAGAAGGGCGAACGCTGTTAACAGCAATTGCTGTCGTCGCACTTTGTTGTTGCTTGATAAAACTGCTGCGTTGCATTAAATTAAACTCATGCGGTGTATTTAAACGCCGCATCGTCGAGGGTCTGGAGTCAACTAAGAGACTGGCGGAACAGCAACACCAAAAGCAACACCACACAGCAACGGCATCGTTTTAATGCAATTGCTGACAGCAGCAACAACAGCGCCAGTGAGTGACAGCAATTTCCTTTCCAATTTGCGCTTTGTTTTTATTAATCAGACATAAAGTCAGAGCAAAAAACAAAAAAAAAGACTTAAAGAAAGCGAAATGAGGCGAGATGTACTTAAATGAGCTTGGGGGCAATAAAGTGCAAAACAATTTAGAGCCCAAGATCGCCAAGGGTTGAGAGCAGAAAGTAAGAAAATATTAATATCCCGCTATGTAAATGATTAAACATCAAAAGGCTTTCAGTCAAGAAAGTGGAGCAAAGTAAATGTGCAAGAAAATGTATTTATAAAAAAAAACAAATATTATTAATGTTCTTTTTTTTTAATAATTATCTTATCAGTTTGCAAACATTTAAAGAGGGGGAAACTTCAATATCGTGTCAAACTGATATTAAAATAATTGCACTTTTTTTGATTCACTATTAATTGAGGGATTATTACCTGTTTAGCGGTGTTTTTTATTAATTTTTTTAGTAAATCAAAAAGTTGAAATTCGCCCCTAAAAATCATTCTTAATCCGATTTAGAGCAGTGGAAATCAATCTGGGTTATCGTAACCGCTTATCGATGCATTGCGGTCGTGGCAATAAATCAAACTCACTTTCAATCAAACTTGACAAATGCCTTTCCGCTACCTTTCTCCAGCTCGATTAGCCTTCGCCGGTCAACGAACTGCATTCTGCGTACTCTCGTTCACTACTTAGTATTACAAAGTTGTGCCGCACTTGCATCGCAGAGCTGTGAGACCCCCTCTGTTCACTTTTACCCCGATTCGAGCTGCTTGATTGCACTTGAGGCCCTTGTAACCTGTAATTTTGTTGCTAACAAATGCGTAACCCGCCTGAAACTTAGCTCAGCTCAGCTCAATTCGTATCAAATCAGCGATTGTGCAACAGCTTGAAATGACACGCTCAGTGCATCTTCATCCACATCCACCCTGCTGCCCAAGCTGCTGGCCACGCATCGCTAGCACTCTAGAATTCCGCTGGCCACTGGGTTGTGTGCCGATTTCGATTGCGACTCCGATTCTGACAAAAGACCCGACTTATTGATCGATTTGTTGCCACACTATTAGAGCGGTTTGCACTTGAACTGCTTACAACTAGTATAACTTTGCGCCTTATCGACCCAATCGAACGGGCAATCAATCGCGATGCCATTCGATTTGCAATTGGTGGCCAAACTGTTGCAGCCACAGCCACCGTGTTGCCAATTCGATCGAATCGAATCGAGGGTGTCAAGGTTAGTTTGGCTTACACGTTTGGCTCATTTACATGGCTCCTCCTCCATCCACTCGCTAAACTTCAGCAAATTGCGGGTGTACGAGGGGTGGATGATGGTTCTGGTAAATGGAAAATGGAAAAGCTAAACGCAGTTTGGGTTAGTTGCCTTTCTGGCTTTTCCTTTGCCAGTCGCTGCGCTCCTTTCGCTTTTTGGCCCTTTGTCAATTTACCTTTGGCTGTGCAAACTTTCGCGTTGCTCCAGCGGCTGCAAGTCCAAATCCCACTGGTCGTCTCCGGAAAATCCAACTCCTTGCAGATGGTGATTCAATGGCAGCGATTTCTCAGCAGATTTGCCCCAGGTCATTTCATTACCAAAGTCAACACAAGTGTCCTGCTCCGGATCCTGGTCGTACTCCTCCTGCTGCTTCTGCTGCAGCTGTTCGTTGCTGTTAATAAAATTTTCCAGTTGGCTCGTTGACTTCCAGTTCTTGTGCTCGGCCGGAGTCCGGCTCATTGGCAATTCAAACGATGCACTCTGATGCCAGCCATTGTGCGAAGTCCTGGGAATTACCGACGCAGGAGCATAGTTACTCAGGCCAAGCTCGTTATTGTCCTGGCCATTGTATTGTCTCGCTGCCGATTGATTCGTAGTCATTGGCAATTGATTTATGCCCAAGGCGTAATCGTTGTAATCATCGAAGCTATTGGAACTGGGCAGGCCCATCTGGCTCCGGCTTCCAATTCCATCAGGCAGGCCGATTCTCTGGAGCGAAAAGCTGCTCTGGCTGCGGCTCCTCTCACGACGGGCTTCCTTTTTTTTGGCCAACTCCGCCGGGGTGGGGGCAAAGAGATTCCGGATACTGGCATTCCGTTGCCTTAAATCCACTTCGCTGCCGCCCGACTTAACCTGGTTTGGTGGAGAGACGCGTAATTGTAAATGGAAGGCTCCTGGCCAATTTCGAGTTCATGCTCAAGCAATAAGGCAATCTTTCGGGTTAGTAGAATCGAACGGGGGGCGCAGAACAATTGTTATCTTACGGGTAGGGCTAAAACCAACAATAATTTAAGCCATCAACGCAACTCAACGGAACTCAACTTAACTCAAGTAAAAAACAAACTCGGGGGAAACGCTGAGGACAATGCGCTGGGTCAACTTGGCGCACTCTCATAATCGGATGAAAACATTTGTGGAGTGCTACTTACACTCGTCCTCGAGGCAAGTGACATTGAATGAAGCGGACTCGAGGAGGCCAACTAGGAGACTTTTCCTCCCTCTGCCGACAAGGGTCATCAAGTGGATGTGAAGCCGGAGCGTTTGCCCTGCCGATTTTTCCTCGCCTTTCCAGACCAAGCGAGGCGAGCTTCTCAAAGCTGGTTGAGTCCATTCAATGGTAGATGTGTGTGTGTGTGCAGGAAAGTGCAGGAAAACCGACAGAGAGATAGAGGAGGGCATGAAAATTTCAAAAACGTTAGACGGATTAGCATAAGCGGATAATTCCGGAAAAACACAGCAATGGCAACGGCAACGACAACAACAGAAGCGCAGAGGCAGAAATAAGAAACCGTTTCGAATCCGAAGAGAAACGGGCAGGCAGCATGTGTGAAACGTTTAAGTGCTGATGTCGGTCGGCGTTGAGTATAGGAAAATTGGGTGGGAAACTAAGCCCAAAAACGAGAGCTCTTCTCCGGCATTTCTTCCAGCTGGCTGGCAACTGCAAGCGAAAAAAAACAAAAGCAAAGAAATATCCGGCCATATCTTGAAGCACAGATATTTTGTGTTTACCAAATACCAACAGCAGTCACATGTGGAAATGCGTGGAAATACAGCTTTCAAACGATGTTCGACTGTTGGCTGCACATTTTCCTATTTGCGCTGAGTAAAATGTAAACAAAGCGGATCAGCAATGTCACAAAAAGTTCAACTGTAGTAATTTCAACGCTTGGCGCAAATATAATTATTTTATTAATTTTACTTTATTAATATACTCAATTCCATTGAAGAGACTGCCTGAATTTTAAGGCTGTTACCCTTTTCTACCCATATGTGACAAGCCGAAGAAGCTTTAATGATGAATGCCACCAAAAATGCATTCTGGATTCTGGGCCAGGCTGGCCATGGGGAGTTAATCTGCCCTGGGAAAACGTTTTTCCACAGCTTTCCCTGTCCTGGGAAAACGTTTTCCCCCAGCTTGCTTTCCCGCTTCATGTACTCGCTCCTTGGCATTGACATTTTTCAGCTGCAAGACAGGAATACTTTCCATTTTTTCCTTGCAGCTTGTGTGTGGTTTTTCAGCCAAAATAATCAAAAGTGGTTGGGGATCTCATACACATGGAGATGGCGAAAGGAGAAGCTTCCTATCCGATGCAGCGTTACATCTGTTTTGTTTGTGCTGAGAGGGAAAAAGGACGACAAGGAAGGGGATATGCGGAGAAGTCCACAAAAAATTGCATGTCAAGTGAAATTACTTGTTTGCCAAAGAGAAACGGGTTAGGAATAGGGAATGGATGCGAAGGATACGGCTTGGAATGACAACTGCAGCTCACGTACATTCACGCACTTGCACACACTCATACGCACACCCATACACACACACACCCACACACACTCATACGCTCACATGTGTGTAGCAACAATACGTCCTGTGAGTCCTGGCTGAGACTTTGATATATACGCAGACGACACTTCGATCTGTGAGGATATGCGGCTAAGCTCGATAAATTGAGATGAATGTCTGGCATGCAGCTAAGTCTCTACAGCTATCTGTCTATATATCCATTATCTATCCGTCTATATATCCGCCCGGAATGCTCAATGCGAGTCATCTTATGCTCTCCGCACTTGACACAATCCGGGGAAAGTGCATTTGCCTGTTGGCTGTCTATCATTCTCTCGCTCCTGGCCAAACGATTTTTTTAGTATACCCTGTATTCGCAGGTTGCAGGTGTATAATAGATTCTTAGCAAGGTACATTGCTACATCTAAGCAACTAAAATTGAAATAGTATTAAGTCTAGCATGCATTATAATTCTTTAAGTTTAAATCTGAAAATCAGTTTCTTTTTATTTAAAAAAAATTAAAATCTAACTTCAAACTGAAAAAAACTTGTATAATTTTTTTACATAAATGAAATTAAGGGTTGTGAAATTCTAAAGTAATGGAATTGATATAACTAAGCCTAAGGGTCCCTTTAATTTGCTGTAAAGCCAAGCAACCAACATAAGGCAGGGTATTATATTACTTAATAGTTTTTTATTTCGACTTGAAAGCACGGTGGTCTAGACACATGGCTCCTTAACCGAGGGTGGCAGCTATAAATATTCGAAAATGTATTCCACTACATATGGGCCATAAAAATCCACTCCCAAGCATTTTAACTTTTATTTCCATTTGCGATTCCGTCGGGAATTCGTCTTCGACTCTCGGCGTGAAGCCATTAAAATGCGACACGCATTGGGCCTGCGATGGCAATGCATTGCATTGCATTGCATAATTTGGGGCGTGCGGAAAGCTGGCATAAAATATTCATTTAAAATGCAGCACGCAACACTTAGCCGTGACGCATTGCTACTAACCCAACGCCCACCACCACCCACCACCACCCACGCATTTAATTGCGGGCGTTGCAAATGCAAATGTCACAGAACCAGTCACATTTGCATGCCGATGACAGGGCTCCACTGGACGTCTGCTGGCCATTCCAATGGAGAAAGCAAATCCTAATCCCCTGCTGCGCTATACTGGGGAGCGGGGGCAAAGTGACAATATGACAAAATGACTGACTGACTGACAGCCTTGACACGTGCTCGTGTGCTTGAGAGGCGTAACAATTCGAACTGGCAAACAATGAACTAATAACGAGAACTTACCCAATTCAAACGGCCCGCCGGAGTCCTTGCACATTCATCAACTGTAAAATAGAGAAGAATCATTTTGATTAGCATTCGGGATTGATAAACGAGCATTTATTATAGTACAACATCAAATGGCAGATGGAAATCGAATCGCTTTGCATAATCAACGCTGGGAGCAGTAAATGAAATGTTAGCCGAGCACAACAAGCCATTAGGTTTGAATTAGATTGAAAGACAACAGTGAGCGGTGGAGCGAATTTCAATTAAATGGCGTTCCCAAAGACGTGAAATCGAGGTCCTTGTGGATCATTAGTAGGGTAGGGAACTGAGCTTTTGATTGTATCATCTGCCGCCATGACTTGGCAGGCCCAAAGGCCCCAGATAATGCACAATGGATGTAGGCGAAACAAAAGCATTCACAGATGGAAACGATACGATGACGATGCAGCTGACGGTACAATAATAAGCCACACATTAACACACATTGCGATTTAAGAGGAAAACCAGGTAAGGAATGCCTTCCAGACATCGATTGCCGTTCGATCCATTAAAACTATACGCAATTATCCAATTCACTCAACTGTTGCATCGTCGTTGTCATGATTGCCTTGGCTATCATCCCCAGCATTACTTGTATTTTTTGTTTTCTACACCGAAAGTAAACGCATTCTGAAACGTATTTTTGTGCAATCCACCAACTTGTTTTTGGGTTCAAAAATACACCATTAAATTGAAATAAAAATAAAAATCTGTCAAGGCATTTACACATTTTAATATTATTTACTTATAAAAATGTATGTTCAATTTTCTTATAAAATAAATATAAATATATAGCAAAAATTACTTTTTTTTGAGTGTTTAAAAAAACAACAGAAAAAATGATGGCTTGGAGGGCTAGGCTATGCAGCTAACCATTTAGTTGGCCAGGCCGAAACTCACGTTTTCCACAGATTATGAGGCCCAGGCAGCAGTCTCTCGAGTGCCGCACGTTTTGCAATAGGAAAACTCAAGCAGGGGAAGCCAGAAAAATAACAACCGAAAAGGGAAATTTTCACGGTGCTCACGTAATTGAATTGCAGTCGGCTAAATTGGCATTTATTATAATAAAAGCAAATATGCAATTTCGCTTTCCACTGGCTGGAAAATAAATAAACGAAACCTAAGTCCCGAAGAAATATCAAAGGCTATGGACAGGAATAAGTGAGACGAATAGGAAACTTATTAAATAATAGAGTGCTCCTTGAGGAGCCACTGAGCTGCTCAAAGAAAGCACTTGAGTTCTCAAGTCTTTAAGGCTATAAACTAAATTGCAACTGGGTTTAAGCCCATTCCTGTGCTCTGTTTTATTTATTTTTATTCGTTCTGTTGGGCTGGACTTCCCCACAAATCAACCGCAAAGGAATTAAATTTAAATAAATTATTTTACAATATCAAACCGCAATGCAAAAAATCCAAACCATTAGGTAAACATCGAGATTTAAGTATGGGGAGGCCAAAGCTGCGAGTGCATTGCAAATGCAAAATAAAGAACATTCATATTTTATAACTTCCATTGAAATCGAACCTCGTAAATGCTCTATAAGCCGGATCTTTTTGCAAAATAATTAATTCGCATTTAAATATTAGTTTGCCATATTTATAAATACATCTCCGGTCATTGTTAAAATTTAATTTCATTACGGAGCAGAGACTCAATTAATAGGATTTGCATTGGCTTCCCCGCTTTGCTTTATATAGTTTAATATTCATAATGTGAGCAAAAAGAGATGCATCGCGCATTGATCGTTATAAGTGACTATATCGAAATTAAACTTAATCTACTTTTCTCGTTTTAGCGCTCTAGCTATCTTTCTATCTGAATTTCCATTTCAGTTTCGAGCATTCAATTTGTAATTTTCTAATTATGTGGTTGAACATTTTGGTATATTGAAAATTACGCTACATAATTGCACATTCCCGTTGCGTGTATTTGCGAATAGCAGACAACTTTACCCTGCATTCTCCACTTTTTCAGTTTCTGTCTATAAATAAGTGATGAGCTTTAGTAGTCACTTATAAGATTTTCCGGGAAATAAAAACTAGCTTTGAAGACATGTATTTTCATGCAAATATTTGACAGAGGAACATATAAGATGTCATTAAATTGTGGATTAAATTTTAAGGGTAAAACTTTTGTGTTATGCTGAACTAGTTTTATGGAATTTGGAGATACTCAAATAAAAGTAAAAGATGTACAAAAAAACTGGGATAAATTATATGGATATGGATATGGATTTCATGAAACATTCAGTTTAATTCAATGATTAACAATATTAAGCCTCTGTTGATGTGAAACCCGAAAAAAACGCCAACCATTATGTTCATAAGCTTCATATTTTTAAAGCGTGATAGAATGTGGCAAAGTCCCAGGCGGAACTCGTTGGCTTGCCTAATGACAACGTCGCTGGTTTCGAGTTCAACACTGGATATGTAGCTAAAATGGTGGGGCGAGAGGATTGGGGCTGGGCCTGTTGATGGGGCTTCAATGGAAGCGTTTACGTCAAGCTCCAAATCAGTTTTGCACTGCACCAAACAATTTCCGCATGTAATTACATTGATTATGCAGCCAAGGAGCGAATCTGGCTGTCAGTCTCCCGTCTCTCTTATTTTAATTTTATTTCAGAAACTTTCGCTCCAGCATTGAACTTGATTTTGCAACAAATTGCTGAGCTACTAGTGGATAGGGTGAAATTGATGGTGTTTAAGCATTTGCCCAACGAGCTTGTCATTGTTGTTGAATGCTTTTTGCGGTGACAACACTCAACACTTTCATGCTCTGTCAGTGCAGAGGCAAACAAAAATGCGAGGAGGAGTGGGCTAACATGTGGTGGTTGTCAACACTTCTCGTCTTGTTGCAAATCGTAATAATGCAGTGAACAATACGAACAAAAAAATGAAATATTAAACAAAATCCATTAACTCATAATTTTCTGCTATGCTGAACACAATCCAGAACCCGCGCTCAGCCCAAAGTGTTCAGTTTGTTGTCGTTAAGCCAACATACTCGTACTCGCACAAACAAAAAACCCAATTGCGCGCAATTTTACGGCAGAGCGCATTTCGCCACCCACCGAACCACCGAGGCTCCCAGCCACCCACTCAACCGCCCAGCACCACCCACTCGCTCTGCTATGAAGAAGCACGTATGCGTGAAATATTGTGCAAACAACAACTGCTACAATAGTTACAGCAGCAACGGTTCATTGCACTAAAAAAAAAACACTACCTATAAATAAAAGAACCATATAAAAAATTTGTTTAAAATATTTTATTTTGTTCATGAATTGTAATTATGCGCACTTTAAATGAAGATTAATCAAGATTAAGTTAAACAAAATAAACACGTATGCTTTTTCACTTATCAATTCAGAATGCTTAAAACCTTAATATAAAATCTAATTTTACTTACTAGAAATATTTAAATATTTTATTATTATTATAATGAATTAATCTATCATGTTTTATTGATTCGGTTTACTTATTTTGGGGTGCAACATTTTCAAAAGTTCTGCCAGCAGTTAAGTGCAGCGCAATTGCAAGCTAACAAATAGAGGAGCAATAATGTTTTTCTTGAGACGGAACTTGTTTGTAACCGAAAAATAAAATTCACACGACGTCGTCGTTGCCGTTGATTATGGGAAACGCTCAAAACAAGTTTGATTGTTGTCGCTGTTTGTTTGTTTGTTTGTTGCTTGCCTTTGTTGTCATGGTTGTTGTCATTGTTGCGGCGGTAATTCATGTGTTGCATGTGACAGGCTTTGTTGAGGTGATATCAAATACATGCTCGACATACACAGGGCTATATCAAAGTGTTTCCATAAACCTACGATACAAATGGTAGGGGCAATAAATCACTTAGCAGCGATAGATAACTGAATCAAATAGATCGTAGATGGGACTAGGAAAAAAGGGACTTAACTCAAGACCAATTTGCCACAAATATAGCCGGAAATATATGCACCCAATAGTTAATAGAAAATTAAATTATACGCCATAAAATAACTGGCATGCCAGGGAAATACTTGTGATTACTGTCATTGCCAGCTAGGCGATTTAATCAATAAGCTATTAGATATTAAGATTATACTGTATGGAATTCGAAAAACTAAATGTTTTGTAGAAACTGAGTTGGTAAAAACTCTAGTTTTAGGTAAAATATGTTATAAAATAACTAGTTGTTTCATATGCATTTGATTTTTTCTTGTTTAGGGGCTTAAAAATTAATCATAGGGTATTTTCCAATTTGAATTATATTAGAAATTGATAATTATGCTAATGGTTATTTGCATAAAACTTCCTTCCTAATTTACACCTTGCGAATTTTGCCAAGGCAGCCCACACATTGAATTTGTGTGGAGCTTTATGAACTGTAAATTGGTTGAATTATAAGCTATTATATATAATGGCATTGGCAGCAGCTCACACGATTTGCGCCGCCGTGGAACGCATTTTGCCAGACAATTTCATTAACAGCAATTGCCGGCGGGTGTTTGTATGTGATTTGTGTGTGCATAACCGCTTCATTTTCATTAGCAATACAATTTGATTAAGTTTCGAGTGCGACAGAGTCGCGTCAGAGCTCAAATTCAAGCCAGATTACAATAATTTCTTTATCAAGCCAAACAACCAGACACGCAACAATAATAACAATAACAGCACGAACCACCGAAGGCAGAAGGTCGTTGCATGTCCAACAATGGAGAGAAAACCTTAATTTGGCAGGGAAATGGGGAATGGGAAGTAGAGAGAGGGAGGTGCCCCACCTCCCAGTTGGGTTCCTTGTGCATACGCCGATGGAGACGTGGACAATGACAACGAAACGGAAACTAGCGGAAATCATTAGAGTCTGCACAAATGGCTTCAAGATACTTTTGCCCAGCCAGCCCCGAGCACTTTCTTCCTTACTTCGCACAGTGGGCCGAAAAGGCAGGAAGACCCAAATCAACGTCGCCAGAAAAAGGCTGTCAGAAGTGGGTGACTTTCGACAGCACACACGGACGGAGAGGAAACTATTTGC